CCCTCCCTCACCCTGCAAAACATTGAGCTGGCTGCGCAGAGACGAGGATTGTATTCTGGCTGCCAGTCGTTGTTTGCGACTGTAGCATGAGAAAGGAAACTTGTTGAGAGAGGAGCTCATTAATAAGCGTCATGAATTCGAGCACAAGCAAAACTACCGCACACACAGAGGTAGGGATCAACGTGGCAAGCACGAAATAAGTAAGCTGCGAATCGAATCCGACAGGCAGGGGGAGATTTCCTTGACATGGACACCCAGGTTACCGCGGTTTTCTCTGATTTAGAGATGATTTGTATGGGTAGCAGCAGCAACAACTACAATTCCTCCTCTGGTTCCCTACCGCAAAACGAAAATTCTGTGGCATGCGCAGGGCGGAACCTGACTGGCCCACCTGTGGTACCGGTAATGCCGGCAATGCCAGAATCACAACAAGAAGTGCCTCCTGTGCCTCAAGATATGGAACTTCGAGGCATCTTGGGGCAGTCCACCACCACCACCAGGGAACATGAATACACAATGGCATCAACATTAGCGCCTCAGGATGGTCTCCTCCCATCAATGTCATCAGGAAACTTCCCACGGCTGCCTCCAGAAACCCAGCTGCCACCGACAACAAATGGTCCTGGGGCCAATGGATTTTCTTCAAGTGCCGGAGGTTATTCGGGCAACAACACAACAAATCAAAATGACTACAGCAATATTGAAACATCCAGTGGAGAGAACTCAGTGCAGGTTCTTGATCATGTTTATAGTGGTTTGTCTGGTACCGGTGGTTGTCATGCCAGCAAAACAATCAATCAAAATGACGGCAGTGGAGAAAACTCAGAACAACTTATAAAAGGGGACGCAATCGAGGCAGAACTTATGATGGAAAAGGACTCAAGGATTACAACCATCACGATTCCCAAACTGGAACAAGGAAACACAACCACACACCCGTACCCCTTGAATCTGCTGCCTCCGATATTTGACGATGTTGTATCTCTCCCACCACCGCTCCCTACAACGACAGTACCGGCACCGACAAGTGTCCCTGGGGCCCAGCATGTTTATGGGGGCTTTTCGAGGAATCCAAATTCTTTTGGCGTCCATCATGACGGAGACCATACAGCAAGCAATCTACAGACTGATGTCATTGATGCAGCTGTTGTGGAAATGGACAATCAAGAAACTCACTTGTTGGAGAGTACTGGTACAGAGCCCAGAATACCCAACCAGAGATCAAAGGAGTACTGGAGGCAAAGGTTACTTCGAGTCCTTTCATTGGAAGTCAATGTGGTCCTCTTGGCAGTGATTGTAGTACTCCTGATATTTTTGGCAGTGTCCGAGGCAGGACACACCAGCAGCAACTCCAGTCAACCAACTTCCATTGAAATGCCTCCAAGCACTCCACGACTGACAACAATGCCAACAATGGCACCAGCAACCTTTTTGGAATCACTACCAGACTATACCCTATCAGCTATGGAACGAGCACAGTCTCCTCAGTCCAAGGCCTATCAATGGCTGATCCAAAACATCAACAATGAAACTTCCACTCTTCAGGATCTACCAAACTGGAGACTAAAACAAAGATTTGCTCTGGCCACATTCTACTATTCTACAAGAGGAGACTATTGGGTGAAGAAGCAAGGATGGTTGGACTGGGAGACCAATGAATGCTATTGGGAACAAATACCAGTAGACATGGGCCAAAATTTGTCTCCAGAAGTGAACTGCAATGCCAATGGGGAAATCAAGGCACTGGCATTTTGGGATGCCAATAGCATGGAAGGAACGATTCCTCCGGAGATTTCCTTGCTGGGGAAAAGCTTGCAGTCAATCGAATTGAATCGGCAATTGGAACTCAAGGGAACCATCCCAACTGTGGTTGGACTGTTGATAAAATTGACTCAATTAGTTTTGAGTGCAACAAACATTGATGGCTCCTTTCCAACCGAGTTGGGTCAACTGCAGAGTCTTCAGTTGCTTCACTTTCATATGACACCTATTCATGGGCATATTCCTGCTGAGATTGGACAACTGCGCAACTTATCAGCATTAAATTTGGCAAGAACTGATCTAACAGGTATGTGTGCTTTGTTTCGGTTTGGTCAGCAGATTAATCTTGGAAACCTGATACTGTCATTCATTCTAGGTTCCGTACCTGGTGAACTTTACAAATTGCCTGGTCTGCAGATGCTAGCAATTGAGGAGTGCCGTGGGCTGGAAACTGAATACATCCTACAAGAACTCATCAGCAACACAATACAGCTTCGTCAGCTATCACTATCAAGCCGAAGGGCCGGGACAGTAATGTCAATTCCATGTAAGGATTTATGCTAGCATGACAGGTGGAAGAGTCTTTGTTTGGACTCACTTTCTAGACTCCTTGCGATACAGCTGAACTTGGCAAGCTGACAGAACTGAACGTCCTTTTTTTGAAGGAGTGGATAGTTCAGGGCACTATCCCGAGTGAGCTTGGGCAGTTGACAAAGCTGGTAAGCAAGGTCTGAGCAATCATATTTGACTTTGAAATTGGATATGGTATGCAAGTCCACTGATCTTGCATATCCATATCAACAGACGTTTCTGAACTTGCATGGGAACTCAATCTCTGGAAATTTGCCACATGAGGTCTTTGAACTGACTGGTGAGTTCAGAAACGTGAGGTTGCATTGTATCATTCTTGAGTTGACTCATGCCATCAGAATGCACCTTTGCTTTTCTCAGACCTGACCTACATCGATGTTAGCTCAAATCAGTTGGAGGGCACACTACCACCAGTTCTCTTTTCGAAACTTACACAGCTGCACTTCTTGCAACTAAACAACAATCAGTTTGTAGGTTCTATCCCTCCAGAAATTGGTCTAGCCTCTAACCTGAAGAATCTAGAGCTGCAAAATACCGCTCTATCTGGCACACTGCCCAAAGAACTACTTGCTCTGGAAAGCTTGAAAAACTTGGTACTCAAGAACACGTCATTGTCTGGCGGCATTCCTGAACAACTATGTGACAAAATGTATGAGCAAAGATTTGATTGCTGGGGCAAATTATTGACCTGCTCTTATTCCAAAGTGCAATCAAACACAACAGTCTGTGATGGGACTCATCTCTGTGGATGTGATTGCAACGCTTGCCCAGGTAACTAACTAGCTAGCGAAATAGTAAACATGCAAACAAAAACGAGCATAGAACTTAGAGAGTAACTTAGCTAAAAAGAGAGTAACCAGCACTGGCTAGCTGGGTTGCAACCAACCACAAGATCTGGCCTCAACTGCCAACTGAGACAGGAATTCTTTGATGTAGTGCACTTTACCTGCAGTTCTGTTGGTGACTTAAGTTTTGTTCCGAAAGCAACAATCATTATTATCAAATTTTGATTGTTTATTTGTCGAGGGTTGGCCATACGGGTACCTGGTACGGTAGCTACTGTAGTACTGTGGTCTAATAGTGGTCTATTTGAGTTGAAGTATGACATAGCTCCAAAAAGGCTACAGCATCCAGGAAGGGCAATAATAGATTGACTGACGCAGTTTGTCATCTTCCACAGACACAGCAATGATTTAACATAATTCGGTGCACCACAATTCTCCCGCGACTGCACTCCTCACTGAAGGTCACTCTGCTGACATTACTTATTGAACATTTGTCATACGGTACTCCAGCTCTCTAGTAAAAAGTCAGAATGGCTTAAAGGAGGCTTTACCTGTGATGTCTCTTTGACCATTAAAGCTTCCTGTTGATGAGGCTCTCTACGTATGTTTGTACCAGCACTGTAGTTCACTCTGACTAAGAACGCCCCTTGAAGCCTCGATGGTGCGATCCTCGCCATTACTTATTGCAAACATAGAAGTACAGTGCTCCCGTAACAGTGAATAAAGTCATTGTTAGGGAAACTGACTTATGGGTTTCTAAAAGTGAGGCTTTTCAGTCGTTTAACCATTTTGCCACCTGTTGTGCAGTGTCCACGTACCATGTACGTCGTCCTGGTACAAAACCTTGCCACCTAATACAGTAGGAAGTGCGATGAGAAGAGCATCCTTGAACCTTGATCTTCGTGCCATGCGAAAAATAAATGAGCCTGGAGACTTTTCCTGACTCGACTCACATTTTTTGTTACAGGGTGAAAACAACAAACCAACAACTAACTTTTGTTTACTATTCTGTTCTGCTTCTCGTCTACGTACCACTAACACCACCATGACGATGATGATGCCAAAGGAAGATACTAAAACTCGAGTAACTCTGGATGGTGACGATGATGTTGATGACGATGGCTCTGTCTCACTGTGTGGTTCCACAGGAGGAGAAGACGATGCGCTGGCAAAGAAAAAGACCCGCGAGGCCGATCTGGAACGACAACGGTTTGTGGGAAGTAAAGAGACTGTAGCTGTAGCTTGGTTGCGTGTATTGACGTTTGGAGTGCTGCTAGTGACGGCCCTGATTGTGTGCCTTGGCGTGTACTTTTACACGCGCAACGACGAGCAACAGGATTTCGAGTATGTCTTTGAATCGAGTGCCGAACGTGTCATTCAATCCTTTCATACATCGGTAGCGCGCATCATGGCGGGTGGCGATGCCATGTCGGTGGCCATTACATCGTACGCGCTGGATACGGGTGCGACATTTCCGTTCGTGACCATTCCCAATTTTGAACTGCGAGGTGCCAATACGCGCATCTTGACCAAATCCATTGCTTCCAATTTCTTTCCGCTCATTCACGACAAGGATCGACCGGCATGGGAAGACTACGTGACACGTAAGATCACACAAGACAAGATCCAATTCAAGTCGTTCATGGCCGAAAACCAATACGTGGCGCAGCAAGACAAGTTCTTTGGACTCGAGACGGTGCCGTTCAAACCACCCGCCAACACTCCATTGGCGGGGCGAAACTTTTCCAGTCAGCTGGGGATGCTCAAGGGAGGAGTCCAACCCAATGGGACAGGCCCCTACTTGGCGTTCTATCAGACCAGTCCGGTTCTACCGGCTCCAGCTCTACCCAATTTGAACATTTTGACTTTCCCACCCTTGGCGGCTGGCGTCAAGCATGTTCTGGCATCCAACCTGGCGTATCTATCCAAAGCAGTGGATCCATCGCCCATGTTTCACATGTTCTTGGCACGAGGACAGTACCGACATCAAAAGGAAGCCTTCTTGGGAGATGCCGCCACGCCCTTTATCTATCCCGTCTTTGACAGTTTCCCAAATGCCAACAATAACAACAATAAGAATCGAACACTGGTCGGTGTCACGCTGTCCAACATTTACTGGCGACTTCACTTTGAAAACATTCTACCACCCAATGCTCGGGGCATTGTGGTGGTCCTATCCAACAATGCCAATCAGACATTTACCTATCAAATCAATGGCGCCGACGTGGACTATCTGGGAAAGGGTGACTTGCATGACGCAGCGTACGACGACTACGGTGTGTCGGCGGATATCTCCCAGCATTTGCAATCCCACGCCAGTGTGGTGACACAAGCATACACGGCCGTGCCCATTGCCGAAACGGGAGTCCAATACCAACTGCACATTTATCCCTCGGCGGAAATGGCGCAACAATACATTAGCAACGAACCTATCCTGTTTGGCTGCGTCGTGGCATTGGTGTTTGTATTCACGTCGATTGTCTTTTTGTTTTACAATCACATGGTGGAACGACGGCAACGAGCAGTGGTGGACCGAGCGGTCAAATCGGCCGCCGTCGTCTCCAACTTGTTTCCGGAACAAATCAAAGAAGAACTCATCAATAATAGTGGTGGCGGTGGTACGAGTAGCACGGCACTGGACGAACCATTCAAACTGCCCGGTGCACGCAAGGAGAAATGGACGGTCTCTCGGCAGCAGCAGCAGCAGCAGTCCATGACAACGCGACCAAAGTTGGCTCAAAAACATCCTCATGTCACAGTGCTGTTTGCCGATATCGCGGGGTTTACGAGTTGGAGCAGTGACCGCGATCCCGAGGATGTCTTTGTGTTGCTCGAAACGTTTTGTGAGTTTCATTTCTCTCTCTTTTTCTTGATGAGGACCCGACCGTGCTTGTCTGCATGCTGACTCTTTATCCTATTCATCCCATCCCTACTAGACGCTGCCTTTGATGCTTTGGCGGCCAAGCGAGAGGTGTTCAAAGGTGAGCCAATCACAGGGACAATTCAATAATGGCATCTTTCTGCACCCAGTAGTCCTTCAAAGACTAACTCCGACTGCACTCTTGTTCGTTACCACGGCTTTTTTTAAACCAAAAGTGGAAACTATTGTAAGTTTCAGAGGGTGCACTTTGACAGGAGGTATTTCGAAGTTTGTCCCACTATGCTAACTAACCAAACCACCATTCAGGGAGACTGTTATTTAGCCTGTACCGGCATGCCCAATGCCCAACCCGATCACGCCATGCGAATGTGCAAGTTTGCCAGGGATTGCTTGCAAAGAGTAAACGTCTTGACATCGAGGTTGGCACCGACACTGGGGCAGGACACGCTGAAGCTCGGGTTCCGTGTTGGACTCCATTCGGTAAGTCTCTTCTCTCTCTAGTTGCCCCTGATTGGCAAGACATAACATCTCATACCCGCTGACCTTTCTCATGATGTATGTATAGGGGGCTGTGACCGCGGGAGTGCTGAAATCGGACAAGGCCCGCTATCAGATCTTTGGCGACACAGGTAAACATACGAGAATACGGCACGCTGCATGAAAATGCTCATTCTTGATGCATGCGTATTGATTGACCAAACTCTTTGCATTCTCCAACAGTGAACACAGCAGCTCGTATGGAGTCAAATGGACTCAAGGGTAAGATACATATGTCTGAAGAAACCTTCAAACAGCTAGTGGCGCAAGGAAAAGAAAACATTCTCGTGGAACGAGAGGAAAAGATCTTTGCCAAGGGAAAGGGGCACCTCCAGACCTACTTTTTGAGTGATGACTTTGTCAACCGGCGGTCAGAAACGGCAACCTTCTCTCAAATAAGTGGGAACAATAGTGTGGCATTTTTCGGTATTGAAGCGTCTGAGAGAAAGGACATTTCCTCTGGTGGAGATCTTTGGGAGGACGATGATGTACCATACGCAGCGGCCAGTGCTCTTGCAGGAGAAAGCCAAGAAATAGTTGGTGCCATCGCTGTGGCCCAACAGGAAGGTTCGATGCAGGAGAGTGGCTCTGACTGGCTTTGAACGTGCGTCCCTTGCCCGGAGCAATTTGGGATTAATTACTTTGCCCGGAGCTTGCGCCATGTTTGTTTTCGGAGCACAACTAGCACAAGGCTTTCCTTTGACATCACGGTCTACTAGCTAGCTAGCTCTACGAACCTAACCTATACTACTAGTACAGGGGAGAATCGAACGGATCGATAGTTTCACGAATGTCCTGATCTTCGTTAGCATGGACCACCCAACGCACAACTGCAACACAATGTGAAAGGCGGGACCAGCCCACAGTTTGCATCACAGGATCCATGTATTTGCTCATTGTCAACCCGAAAGTTTCAACAATATACAAGAGTTCTTCCTCGCCTGTTGTGTACCGTACCGGTACCGCTTCTGAGCATTGGAATAGAATGCCAAAAGGCTTGCTTTTCTTGCCAGATCACGCCACCTAGATCTAGGTACCGGTAGCAAGCTAGTACCGGTAGAGACCATTACGGTGTAACATTCGTGTAGTTATTTCTCTAATAGTAGCATCATGGTCACTCTTCTACAGCCACCACACTTACTACTTATATATCTTAGTAGTATTGTCGTCGTCGCCGTCATTTTATCATCATTCACTACGGATCCACCCACGCCTTGACGGGGATCTGACTCAAATCCTTGTCCCTTGATGCCTCTGTCTTGACAAAATAATATTGTTTCCGTACTTGATGAGCCACCCATGCCACCAAGGTGGACAGTACGGCGAGTGGGAGTGTCCGTTTGGGAATGGCCCGCAACCACAAGACCCGTGCCATCCAGGCGGCCGTCAATAGTAAGCCGGTTCGCGTAATGCGTTTGCAATTGCGTACCAGTCCCTGCGAATCGGGACAAATAGTCAAATGCTGTGTGCGTCGATCCAGTACAATTTCCCGAGCGGGTGTGTGTTGCAGTGCTCCAGCATAGTGTAATTGTTGCAGTGTCCGGGCTCGATTGGGTGCTTTATGGAGAGTCGTATCCCAAAAATTGTCAATGAGTCGTACCGTTTTATCGGTGGCACTCCCGTAGGCAAAGAGGGATGCCCGGGGTCGTTCGACGCCTTGTGCTTCGGCCGTCAAAATGGGTGGTTGTTGCGACGCTACCAAGACAGTATCTTGATCGAGGAATCGATTGAGATTGACTTGCAATATCCACCGTGGCACTTGAATGGGAACTTGTCCAATGGCCGCAGACATGAATCGACTCTTGCCGGTGCCGACGGGACATACCCAAAAGGCGGTAATAAACTTGGTGGAACCGTCCGTGACATTGCGTCGACTCATGGAGACCGTGGTGGGTGCCATGAAATGCGACGTGGCTTGGAGTGTTTCTTCCGGTGGCGTTTCTGGTGTACTTCCAAAACTCGCTGGTTTGGTCTTTTTCGGTGGTTTGGTTTTCATTCCTAGAAATTGTCGTTTGGCGCGATCGACGGCCAGTAACTTGTCGACGGCCGGAACGGATGCCGTGAGTTCCCATCCATTTTGATCAAAATTCTCCGTAATGGTTTGGGGATGATGTGGACTGGCGGTGTAAAAGTCAAAATTGAGATTCTGATGGGCAAATGCACCGTGATCCGGGTCGAGAATATTACTGACAAGCAGTGACCAATCGACCATGGGGAAATCGCGGACGACCCGTGTAATGCGCCATCCGGGCAACTCCATTTCCGGGACACTGGGGGGCGTCTTTGTGGGCATGTTGTCTGTGCCCGGCCACAACCAGACCATGGATTGATGTTCGCAAATGGCAATCGGTTTGGCACAAGCGCGTGCTGGAAAGTTTGTTACTGTGGGGTCAGTAGTGACGTCTTGAATGGATTGTGGAATTTGGACACAGTCTCCCGTGGTTCCATTGAACGACCATCCGTGATAGGCACACTGAATGAAGCCCGATTCGGTCAAGCGGCCTTCCGACAGAGCGGCGGCTTTGTGAGGACATTGATCTCGTAGGGCCGTCCATTGCTGGCGCGTGGAATCGTAGGCAATGACATAGTCGACATCAAACAGTGTCACTTTGGTGGGACGATCGGGCAGAACATCGCATGCCCACGTCACGGGGTACCAGTGTTGGTAGTAATCAAAGGAATCCCAACGACTTTCCTTCTTGTTCGTGGCAGACGACGCCCTACTACTACTACTAGTACTAGTGCTGGAAGAAGAAGACTTGGTCAACTTGAAGGACGGTTTCGCACCAAACATGGTAGACGTGTCCTTGGTAGATGCCACAGCCGCCACGGTCGATTGCTTCTTCTGCTTGCTGCTAGTAGCAGCACCCAGAGTGGTTGGTATAGAAGTATCCGTATCCGTAGTATTGGCGCTGCTGCCCTCCTCTTCTCCTTCTTGGTCCTCACTGGCCGTCATCAACAGACGCAACGACGACCGAACTCTACTACTTGTAGTATGAATGCTTGTAGACTTGTCATGATGATGATGGAACAGTCGTCTTCTTCTTTGGAATTCAGCAATAGGACGGGTAGTAAAGGCATCGCAGAAAAGCACATGCCACAAAGGCACCCATACCAACGACAAGAGACACACTGGTCGCATCTTCGTTCCTCTGAACGTAACCAAACGAATAGACTAGAAACAACTAATTGAGTGGAGAAATCCTGTCAGTGTGGTGGATAGCTGATGGCTCTTCTGATGTAATGTATGTGATGGCAACCAACTGGCTGGTGACATCGACTTTTGGCTTCGGCTCTGTCATGTGGACAGTTCGAAAAGATCCACCCTCAACAAAAGATTCAAAGCCTCTGGGCTCAGGAGCTTCGGTGCAAATCAAGCGGCTTTGCTGGCTTCAGATGAACAACAAGGGCGAAAACGACGACGATCGACGTTTTGGGTTCGGAGGAGGAAGCACACCTTCAACAGACTGACAAGGGGGGGCGGGGCCTACAGAATTTAGGGTTCACCTCTCTATTGTACAGTATCACCTAATCGATTGACGACTTTGTCTAACAACAACGACAATGACAGTGACAGTGACGACGAATTAGATCTTCTCAAGATTGTGGAATGGAGGTTGCAGCAAGGCAGTGCGGAAAACTGTCAAGAAGAGGAAGCAACATCCGCTGTCTCCGATGTCGCTCCCTCAAGCTATTCTGCTTCTACTCCTCCTACTGCAAGTAGTCCTACTGCCACTGTTGCTCCCCTTGCTCCTCCTCCAACCACCACCAGTTGTTTTCACAGTATGAAGATTGTCAGAGAAAGAACACTTGCTGCTGCTGCAGCATGCCATGAGCCAGCTGGGGACTTAGAGCTGGTAGAAGTTGCCGAAAAGGAGAGCGACAACCACCACCAACACCACCAACAACACCACGACAGAACCATTGACTTCTAACAAGACACCCTGGATGTTCTAGCTAGTAGACAACGTCTTGAGCTGGAGACAGCTGGGAACTTGGAGCTAGTTGAAGTCGCCAAAAATGGTTATAGCAAAACAACCCGCCAGGAGAGCGATAACCACCACCACCACGACAGAACCATTCTAACAAGACAACCTGAATCTTCTTGTAGACAACTACTATGGATACCTGGTGCCTATGCCATTGATGGTCCTTTTCTTGCTAATAGTGACACTGGGAATCATCATCCAAATAGTAGTACTGGTGTGTCAAGTGACGACGAAGAAGACCTGGACATTTGGGATCAGTAACAGACTGAGGATATCGTTGCTGATCCTATAGATGATGATCAGCAGACAGGCCTGTTGCCCAATGCAGAGCCACTAACAACCAACCAGAGATCCAAAAAGGAATATTGGAGGAAAAGGCTGCTTTGCTCACTCTCGGTCGAGATTAATGTGGCTCTTCTTGTTGTATCAGTTGTTCTTGTGATATTCTTGGTTGTGTCCAGAGAACAAGGAAACAACAATCAGTCACCACATCACAATGGCACAAGTCAAATTTCCACAAATCCAGGTGAAAAAACTGTAACAGTAACACCGGTGCCCACTTCCCTTTTGGATTCACTCAATCTACCCGACTATACCCTATCAGCTATGGAACGATCACAGTCGCCTCAATTCAAAGCCTATCAGTGGATGGTCAACAACAATAAAACATCCTTTCGTCAGAATCTTCCAAATTGGAGACTGAAGCAGAGGTTTGCTCTGGCCACATTCTACTTTTCTACCAGAGGGGACAATTGGGTGAAACATCATGGATGGTTGGATTGGGCCACGAATGAATGCAATTGGGAACAACAACTAATTATGCCCCAAGAGGAATCACCACCGCCCTGTAATGAAAAAGGTGAAATCAAGGCACTGGTCTTTCGCATCGCCAATAACATGGATGGAACTATTCCACCTGAGATTTCTTTTCTTGGCAAGAGCTTGCAACTATTGATGCTGAGTCGGCAACATCAACTTAGGGGATCTATACCAACAGAGCTTGGGGAGTTAACACAATTGACTGAGCTGGAATTGGGAGCAACAGGCATTTCTGGCACTCTTCCAAGAGAGCTCGGGCTTCTGACGAAACTTGGCCAAATCAGACTCATTCAAAACAATTTATTGGGGTCTCTTCCTTCCGAGCTTGGCAAATTGGGCAACATTACAAGATTCATGTTGCATGGGACACATCTTACAGGTTTGTGTTCGATATCTGGTCGCAGGAGTGCTGCATGTAATTAAAAACGACTGCTGACATTTGAGGCTATGTTTTGCTTTTGAAACCATCCATGGTCCCTCCCTACCGAACTCTACCAATGGCACAAATTAGAAAAGCTAGATGTGATTGCATGTCCTAAACTGAACATGGACTTTGTTCTTTCAGAAATTGCCGAGAATTTTCAACAGCTGCAATGGCTCGTGCTCGTCCAAAGAGCACGCGGGGACAAGATGCCAATTCCATGTGCGTTAAAGCTCTTCGAGTTTGCGTTGAGTTCTTGTGTATCCTGGCTCTAACATCTGTCGATTGCTACCTTCAAACAGCTCATCTTGGCAAATTGCCCAAACTAGCTGCTCTGACTTTGAACGACTGGAATATATCTGACACAGTACCAAGCAACTTTGGGGATTTGGCATTGTTAATAACGGACTCATTTACAAGCTTACTGACTACTATAAGGCTTCGTCTAATCACTTGTCGTCGGGATTTGGCATTGTTGGTGAGTAATACAAGGCAACAACACCACAAAAATATCATTGCCTCCATTGGACTCGTCACTCGTAAGAGGAAGTGCACTTGTTTTTAGAATAGATTGAACCCGGAAAATAATTCCATTTCTGGGACTTTTCCACAGATGTTATTCAAATTGACAAGTGAGTCCTTAAACATACTTCTTCTTCCAGTCCGCTGCATTTTGTTGAGGACAACTCACTCCCGTTTTGTTTATCCTTTCAGATATGGCTTATTTATTTCTTGGTTCCAACAATCTAGAGGGCAAGCTCCCATTGGGTTTCTTTACACAGCTCACCTAGCTGCGATATTTATCCCTCCGGGACAATCAGTTCTCTGGCACAGTCCCAACCGAAGTTGGCCTACTGTCAAGCCTGAAGGAGCTGGAACTACAGAATACCAACCTTTCTGGCACACTTCCTACAGAACTGCTTCTGTTGGAAAACTTGGCAAGCTTTGTAGTCACAAACACATCCTTATTGGGTAGCATTCCTGAAACCTGTGTGGCAAAATGCACCAGCAAATACCGGCGAGCTTTGGTGGACGGCAGTATAACAAAAAGAGTGAAACTCCAATATGCCAGGGAACTCTGCTCTGTGGATGTGACTGTGATCCATGTCCTGTAGACTAAACTGCCGGTAACACTTCTTAGAAGCACTTTGTGTTGTCAGCTGTTACAACCAATGAGGCTCTAGTGTGTGCAGCAACGCACCTTTCAAGTCCAAAGTTTTTTAACCAGTGGCTGCAGCAACACCCTTTGCTGTGGGTACCAAGTGTAAAGGGTGAACCCATCCACGAGGTTTTCCTCACAACATAATGAAAGGGGTTGCCACGGGGCTAGTTAAAACATTCTTTGTGAATAAAGTGAAAGGACCAATTTTTCACCCAGGTAGATGGTGGCTTTTCAGCAAATTGGCAAAGCCATGGTAACAGACCCACCTATTGAATTTTGCTTTGAACAAGGTAGATCTGACAAATAAAAAACCACCAGCTGTAAAAAGCTACAAGGAGAAAATAGAATGGAGAAGGTAACTTGGGGTTTGGGACTATGGTGTGAGGATGGGTTTCAGAGGAGGAGGGCTGCACGCACGGGAGAAACCAACATGACTCCCACGAAACACTGGGCGCACGCCAACTGGGACTGAATGTTTGCCATCTTCCAGCAACCTCCTGGGAATGAATAATCCTGCAAGAACGCATCCAGGAAGAAAGTACACAGGAAGAGTTCCTGCCATGGTGTTGTTGCTGTGCACATGGCGGTTGGTTGTTCAAGTCGTACAAGCTCGGTTGCTCTGACAATCGAAACATAAAGTCTCTTCATTCTTCTTTTCAAACCAAGCCTAAAAACCCAAACTCAAGCTGCTCGAGTTGAAATCCAACCAGTCTACAAGCAATCAACCAACAACGCTTCATGAAGTCCAAGACCATTTTCCTTGTCCTGTTTGCTTCGTTCACAAAACAAACTACTGGGTTTTGCAATGACAGACCAGCTCCTGCCGATGGGGAACTTTTTCATTGGGAGCTCTTTTACTGTGACTCCGGGTGTTTTCTGTTGCAGGTTTGTGGACAACAAAGATGGGACCAAGGATGTTTAGATTGATGGATACAGTTGCATCGAAAAAGTCGCTCAGTTGGATGTGCTGTACTGATGATTCCTGAGGGTATGGGAAGTGTGGCGGATGCTAATGACATGAACAAAAAAGAGAAAATCCACATCCTCCACATTCAAAACATCCCCACCAACCAAATAGCAATTGAGATCCAAGTCCATGATGCAGCCGTCTTTGGCAATGACGGTGTCCAAATAGACAAGTGCGGTGGGACTCAAAACCCCGGAGGCATTTGTACCAATGTTTGTACACAAACAGTTAGCCTGTGTGTTCTTGCACTAGAGTCTAATGACTCGGGCTCTATCACGCCTCCCCCAAAGATCAAAAGCGACCATCAACGCAAGTCCTTGCATGGAGACTGGTCTGATGGCCGCCTGCCGGCAACTGAGCTTGCTATTTCCTGAGCTAAAGCAAGAGAGGGGTACTGCTGGCTGGTTGCTCCTTGTGCATGGTCCGTAGTCGGCCAAACCACTACCACTACCGTACGTATCGGAAGTGTTTCTGTGTTCTTGGCAGCAATCGGATCATTGGATAGGGTCTTGCTGCCAAACTAGTATCAAATGCTGATCATTCCCACGAGGGTAGGATCCTTTCGAAGTGAACCAATCGCTGCACCTAAATCAATGGCAGTCCACAAGTACCAGTATCTCCAAACAACCCGGGAAGAGGATATCACATATCGGCACTGGGAGGCCAATGTGGTCCCGTGCCCCGCCTAAAAGGACACTGATAGTCCCATGGTCAAATCTACTCCTTCTGTTCTCTTCTCCTGGTCGAATTAGAATGCTAACTTATATAAAAATGTTCCCAAATTTCCTCCAAACTACCAAACCACCGCGGCCGCTCAGGTCTACCGGTACAGGTGTAGTTAGTGGGAAGAAGGAAACGTATCCCAATGAAGGGGAGCGGGAGACAGTGGAGGCTGGCTGAAAAGCTTCTCGTTGATGCCATTCATATCCTTCACATCGAGCTCCGCTTTCATAAAATCAAAGGTGTCGTCCAGCAAACGGCCAGAAGCTTGCACTGAATGGTACAGGTCTTCGAGATCATCCACAGCTGCCTTCACGTCTTTGGCAGAAGGAACACCACCACTGCACACATAGTACATCACGACCGTGACGGTAATGTGTTCTTGTGGGTGCCTACGTGGTTTGTCGATGGACAACACACTGTCCTCTGCTTTGGTATCAACCAAAGAACCTTTGGACACTCGGGCAGCATGGGAGGAACCAATCTTTGCCTTTGGCAGGTTTGAGCATGATCCACTTCCTGGAGTTGTAGGTTCAATATCGCCATTAGTTGTACCTAACCCAGCGAGCTCAGCCTCCAGTGCAGCAAGTTCATCTTTTTCAGCTGCTTCGAGCGCTGGGAGCTTGACCGTCATTGTTTGGATGGGGGATGTCGGACTCGTGGACTCTGCTTCCAAGACAGCTGTTTCCAAACCTTCCAGTTCAGCCAAAAGTTCGTCCTCATCTGCAAGGAGAGGATCAGGCATGGCCAGGTTGACCTCATGTTTTAGTTCCATTTCTTCCTTCATCTCATCCATGATCCCATCCACCTTTTCTAGTCCCACTTCACATCGTATCTTCTTCATCGTTGTACTCCCTGATTTCATGGCATCAAAGGTGGCTTTGTTTTGTGTTGCACTCTGAAAGTTGATGAGTTGAGTCTCCAGTGTCATCCTGGTATTCTGAATCTTGTCAAATTCGTGTTGGTACATTTTCTTGCGTTTCATGGCAAACAATGCTCCCTTTTTATCCCCCTGCGCCATCTTTGTCTTGGCTTCCGCACCAACTTGGTCAATTTTCTTGAGGACATGAGCTTCTCTGAAGGATAGCGAGAAAGTTAAGAGTTTCATGGAGATCAGGGAGAGATTGGCGATCACTGCCTTACCTGTTTTCTTGTTTCTTGATAGCAGTTTGCAAGTTTTCGATCGTCGAGGCTGCTCCCTGTTGAGGGATCAATTTGGGGTTGTTATTCTTAGTGGCAGCGCCCATCCAGCGCTGCCACCACGTCCACCCAGCGGCACTTGATTGCTTCACTTTGCAACTGGGTTCCTTTGCAAGAGTACGGACTTCGGTTGTCTCCTGGAGCAGTGGTACCTGGATCGTCATGAGTGCATTGAAGCGAGTCTTCATACCTCGGACTCCAATGACGGATGCGGTGGCTTTTCCTCGTTTCAATGCGTCTATCCGTTCTTCCTGAGTCTCCTTCTGAGCCCCACCCACGATATGACGGCTTCGTTCAGCTTCTAACCAATAGCGGCCAATCCTCCCGTTGGGTAATTTGGAGTGATGAAACAACTTTTTGGCTCCGGCTCCGTCCTGTTGGATGGCCAGGCCTTGTGTTGTACACAGCAGAATCAAGTTCCGAGGCTGAGCGTCGGAACGAGTGTTGTAGTTGTATGCTTCGGGGGCAAACTCAATGCTGGCGGTGGGATGATCGTCTACTGGAAGAAAGGTGGTTTGAAAACGGATTGATATCTTCTGATCGAGTGCCTTGTCGTACAGGCCTTTCTCAGGAAGATCCGGACTAAAGCCGAAGGTGGCAAGATCTCGCAGGACCTCCTTGAGAGTCAACGGCCGCAGCGTCTCGTCACTACCGGCAACGACAGCGACCTCATCTGCCGAAACCTTACCAAGGCGCTCATTCCAGTTGTCACTGCGGACAGTAAACATCAATCTTCCATCTTTGGCCCAAAGACGAGTATCCGTAATGTTTGAACCCCAACACGACAAACTGTTCCCAGTTGTCCCTCGTTGAACGTCATCCCAGGACACCGTTTTGCAGGAGTATCCCCGGTAATGACCACCCGCCGAATGGAGCGAGCTGTTGATTTGCTCGAGAGTTTCTTGTACTGTTGCCATGGTCGAGGAGCAGCACACTTGACCAAAAAATAAGCAAAGAGGTCAGGTGAAGACGACCTCACGAAGCGGCTTCAGTCGTGACCACGAATCGAAGATTCATGCAGTCGTGGGTCGAGGACCTGCTCTAGGATCGTCGTGTGCAGGAGCTTGGAGGTCTACTTGGTGCGCTGGCTAGCTACCGGTATGTTTTATTAACTATGATGTACCGTATTAATACTTGCAGCCGACGACGAGCAAATGTTGGTGTCTGTAAACAGCAGCGAGTCGCACTAATGAGCGTTCGATCTTTCGAAAAGCAACACCATGACGCCCGATTCGATTCGAAACTCAGGCACGGCGAGGACATCTCATGTGCTGTTGCTCTACAGTAAGACTGACTCGATTCGCCCAACTTTTCATGGTTCCAGCATTCGATCCGCTTCTTCCAGTAGCCCACCAAAGTCCGTCGAGGCACACTCGAAGAATTCCTCACTCTGTAGGTAATGTAATGCCTGCGCCTTGTTGGTGTTTTTGAGTTCCACGACGCACTTGGGGATACATTCGACGAGCCACTTGACCATTTTGGCACCATTCTTGCAGACCGTATTGCCGGGGAGACTCCGAAGCTTGGCCCAACAGAGCCACTGGACGCGGTGATAGAGCAAAGTCCCTTCGGCACATCCTGTGAGTTCCACTGGGCAGCTCTCTTGGGATTCAATCCGAAAGGTGTTGCCGCTTTGAATGATGCCAAAACAGGCCTCCTGCTGTCCAGTTTTGTTTGGAATGACCATGCAAACAATGCTCCCTTGTGGCATTGTCGAGAAAGTATCGTCCGTGTTCCACTTGAGTGTTACCTGGCCCGGCTTGAGATCCTGGAAGAAACCATGGACACGGGCGTATCGCAAATTCTCATCATTCTGGAAAAAGTCACGAGCCTGTTCCGCATCGTAGTCATTTCCAATAGGAAAGTCTGTAGAAGGCAGAAACCAGTTGCTCTTGTAGATACAATTCATTTTCAAAGCGAACAAAGCGGGTTTTCGAGAGTATTTATCGTCGTTGCTCTCATGGCCCACGAAGACCCAATGTCGATAGATTCGGAGATTCGAGGTGAAGGTGCCTGGGGGCCAGGGGCTTGAGTGTGCAATGCTCTTGACACTGGAAGGAACCGATTTTGGCAGTCTCATCGCGTGCTTCTTTGTAGTGCCATGCGTTTCTTCTTGCTCCAATTTCCGCTTCTGTTGCTGATTGTAATTGAGAAGAACCGCCATTTTCATTTCGTCTTCCTCCTTTATATCCTCTTCTTTAACAGGCGAACTTGGATTTCTTGAACCCACGGACTCGACCTGGACCTCTTCATCAGAGCCAGAGTCTTCTCGTTTCTTGACAGAGGCAACCCAGCTGGCCTTCTTTCGTGCCATTCTCTTCTGCTGTAATTCTTCCTACGATTTCGGCTGATGCTGCTGCTTCTTTGCCATCTCTGTCCTTCATTAACGGACGCACTTCTCTTTGTGAAGGTTGAAGTTGTCTCGATTTTTTGTTTCTTCATTGTTTTTGCTCACAGCGATACCGAAGGGATTGCCTCTGACAAGATTGGAATGGCACTGCCTGGAAAATTACCAGAGATAAAACATCCATTCCCTCCTTTGCTTGCCACCGTTGAGCGACCACTGTAGAGTCAGCTTTTAAAACTTGGATTATCTTACATGTAATGTAGTCGCCTTGTTTGACGTCCCGGTGATGGCATACATGTAGTGTGTTAGGAATGAGGCAAAGCTTTGATCATTGCATAAGATACCCGAGAGCCAGAGTGGAAACCCAAAATGTGACCAGGTAAGCCTCGAAGCCTTAACGCTACTTAAAGATACTTAGGGCATGGATACTTACGGTACTAGATGACTTGCCGATTTGCCAAACATCCGCCATCGTCATCCAGTATCGTTGCTATCCTCAGTCTTCCAAATTGGTCTTCCTCCTTTGCTCCTCCCTGCCCTGGTGCCTTCCTCCCTTTCCTTGGTTTTGATGTTGCCCTGCTTGCTCACTCAATTGCTTGTCTTGCGTTCCTGCATCCTGCCCTCCCCTCTCTGCCCCCATCCTCATCATAGCTCTCTCTAACCCATAGTAACTTTCCTACTCAATTTTTTGGTTATCAATTCCCAGCCTGATCTAAATCGAAAGGCGAGAAGGTAGGTCGTAGGAAAGCACTCAATGGCTTTGGCAAGGACAGCAGGCCCGCCCCTTCCCATACCCGCCATCATGAAACCAGCATCAACGTCTCCCGAGGAATCACACAAAATGCAAGCACTGATACAGTGAGCAACGACGGCCTTGACCACTCGGAGGAAGGAGGCTGATAGGACAAAAGAGCTGCGGCACAATGGCAGGCAACGCCAAAAGGAAGGAACATCCTGAAGGAACTATTCTATGGAAAAAAGACGCTGCCTCTTCTCTTGATCCCACTAGTAGTTCTTTAGCTAGCTAGAGACAAAACGAAGCAGAATCCATTAAAGCTAGCCTCAGCAAGGATATAAACGTAGTGTCCACGAATCAAGCGTCCCCTCGTCACTGCCTGCATCATCATATACCTGTAGTTGCCAGTTCCCAGACGAATAGGTATTCTTCAAAGCAGAGAGGGGATTCTGTGGCCGAACAGCTGCTCCAGTTGTTGAACACGCAGTTTCTCCCGCTGAAGCACCCTCAATAACATCACAGCTTGAATCATCAAATATAACATGAAGGTTGGACATGCAACCGCATTCATCTTGCGCAAGTAGTACGCTCCCATATGGGCCATATATGGTGATTTGCAAGTCAGCAGCACATGAGTGTGTGGTGTCCACTTCCACAGTAAGAGCACAGATTTCAAATTGACTGCCGACAAATTGGGTGTGAGAAGTAGTTTGGGTATCTAAAACTGGGAGACTGATCACTCCAGAAGAGTACACAGAAGCAGGGCCAGTAGGAGTAGATTGTGGAGTGCAAACAGTTGGTTGTTGTGATGGTGATTCCGTTGGTGATTTAGAGGGACTAATGGAAGGAACATCAGATGGACTGATGCTAGGGATTGTCGATGGAAAATCTGAAGGACTGATGCTTGGTATGCCCGAAGGCAACGAAGATGGAATTATGGAAGGCACATCAGATGGACTGATGCTAGGGATTGACGATGGCAAATCTGAAGGACTGATGCTTGGTATTCGCGAAGGAAACGAGGATGGGGTTATGGAAGGCACATCAGATGGACTGATACTGGGGCTGGATGATGGTACATCTGAAGGACTGATGCTTGGGCTTGATGATGGCACATCTGAAGGACTGGTGCTTGGCAGTTTTGATGGAACCGAAGATGGACTAATGGAGGGCAATTCAGATGGACTGATGCTAGGGCTCGATGATGGCACATCTGAAGGACTGCTGCTTGGGGATGAGGAAGGTCCTGATGATGGGCTTACGGAAGGCACCATTGATGGCCTTTCGGATGGTGTTGAAGAAGGCAGTGAAGATGGACCAGAGCTCGGTGTTGTGGATGGAATATCTGATGGGTGCACACTGGGAGTGGCGGAAGGAAACTGTGATGGGCTGGATGAAGGCAATTTGGATGGACTGGAGCTAGGAATAACAGAGGGGACATCTGATGGGTGCTGACTAGGGGTTGTGGAAGGAAACTGTGAAGGGCTCAATGAAGGCAATTTTGATGGGCTCACACTTGGAGTCATGGATGGAGAATCGGATGGGATACCTGAGGGCGTGTTGCTGGGTGCTGTGCTCGAAGGAGAAACAGATGGAATCCCTGAAGGAACAAATGATGGGATCCCAGAAGGAGATTCTGATGGTTGTTTTGAAGGGGCAATGGATGGCTGAGTTGAAGGAAGCAGTGATGGTTCAAAGTGAACAGAAGGAACTCTAGATGGTTCTTGAGATGGTGTGGTGGATGGTTTCAGAGAAGGCGATTCTGAAGTTGAAGGTGACGCAGAGGGCGATATTGTTGGATTCTTAGTAGGGTTTCCAGGGGTGACTGTTGGGATTTGTGAGGGAGATTCTGAGGGAATACCAGATGGTGTCATAGATACAGCAGAAGGAACTCTAGATGGTTCTTGAGATGGCGAGGAGGATGGTTTCAGAGAAGGCGATTCTGAAGTTGAAGGTGATGCAGAGGGAGATATTGTTGGGTTCTTAGTAGGGTTTCCAGGAGTGGCTGTTGGGATTTGCGAGGGATATTCTGAGGGAATACCAGATGGGGCCATAGATACAGCAGATGGAGCTCTAGATGGTTCTTGAGATGGTGAGGAGGATGGTTTCATAGAAGGCAATTCTGAAGTTGAAGGTGATGCAGAGGGTGATTTTGTTGGGTTCTTTGTAGGGTTTCCAGGAGTGACTGTTGGGATTTGTGTGGGAGGTTTTGAGGGAATACCAGATGGGGTCATAGATACAGCAGAAGGTGACTGAGACAAAATGATTGATGGCTGAACACTCGGCTTTCTTGAGGGAAACGACGAAGAAGATGGGGACGATGACACTATTGTCACTGATGGACTTGGTGAAGGTGCAGAGGTGGTAGTTACAATGTCTGTTGCTGCAGCTGCTGTACTTCCCAATGCAGCATTGTACCCGGCAACAAACGCTGCGGAGGCATCACTTGATTCAATGAGACTCCTAGATGTTGGCTGACTTGTGCCCAGAGAATAGAGAATAGCGGCACTGGTTGATTGCAATCGTCTTCTTGAACCTCTACTTGCAACCATCACAGTGTTTAGTATTGGTGAACAAGCATCTTTCGTCACCCCAGCATACCCCTGTTCAAATGCCAGAATGAGAGTGGCATTATCTATTGCTGCAACAGATCCTGCAATGGTCACATAGTATTCCACTTGCATGTCCACAAATGATAATGCACAGCTTTGGGTGGGGGCAGAGGTGGTTGGAGTGACACTGGGCGAGCCAGGAGTCACTGTAGGGAAACCCACCGCATGGATGCCAGAGGTTGGGGCCACTGATGGACTACCAGGATGAACAGTTGGTGTCCCAATCGTAGGATCCCCAGTGGTTGGATTCGCACTGGGAGAGTCAGGAGTCACAGTTGGGACACTTGCAGTAGGGCTGGCACTTGTGGGGCCCACTGATGGGCTGCCAGGAGTAACGGTGGGGACATCAGTTGTGGGTGCCGTAATAGTTGGGAAGCCAACACTGCTGGGACTTGCTGTGGTTGGGGTTGTAGAGGGACTACCAGGAGTAACAGTGGGGAGATCAGTTGTGGGTGCCCCAGTAGTTGGGAAGACAACAATGCTGGGGCTTGCTGTGCTTGGGGTTGCCGAGGGACTGCCGGGAGTCACAGTGGGGATTCCGGTTGTAGGTGCACCTGTAGTTGGGAAGCCAACAGTACCGGGGCTTGCAGTGGTTGGAGTTGCGGAGGGACTACCAGGAGTAACGGTGGGGACATCAGTTGTGGGTGCCGTATTAGTTGGGAAGCCAACCCTGCTGGGACTCGCTGTGGTTGGGGTTGCAGAGGGACTACAGGAGTAACAGTGGGGACATCAGTTGTGGGTGCCCCTGTAGTTGGGAAGACAACAATGCTGGGCTTGCTGTGCTTGGGGTTGCCGAGGGACTGCCGGGAGTCACAGTGGGGATTCCGGTTGTAGGTGCACCTGTAGTTGGGAAGCCAACAGACCGGGGCTTGCAGTGGTTGGAGTTGCGGAGGGACTACCAGGAGTAACGTGGGACATCAGTTGTGGTGCCGTAGTAGTTGGGAAGCCACACTGCTGGCCGCTGTGGTTGGGGTTGCAGAGGGACTACCAGGAGTAACAGTGGGGACATCGGTTGTGGGTGCCCTATAGTTGGGAAGCCAACGAACCTGGGCTTGCAGTGGTTGGCGTTGCAGAGGGACTACCAGGAGTCACAGTGGGGATTCTGGTTGTGGGTGCACCTGTGTTGGGAAGCCAACACTGCTGGGAGTAGCTGTGGTTGGGGTTGCAGAGGGACTACCAGGAGTAACAGTGGGGACATCGGTTGTGGGTGCCCCTGTAGTTGGGAAGCCAACAGTACCTGGGCTTGCAGTGGTTGGGTGCAGAGGACTACCAGGAGTCCAGTGGGATCCTGGTGTGGGGGCACCTGTTGTTGGGAAGCCAACACTGCTGGGACTAGTGTGGTTGGGGTTGCAGAGGGACTACCAGGAGTAACAGTGGGGGCATCGGGTGCAGGTGCACGTGTTGTTGGGAAGCCAACACTGCTGGGGCTAGCTGTGGTTGGGGTTGCAGAGGGACTACCAGGAGTAACAGTGGGGACATCGGATGTGGGTGCCACAGTTGGGAAGCAACAGTACCTGGGCTTGCAGTGGTTGGGTTGCAGAGGGACTACCAGGAGTCACAGTGGGGATTCTGTTTGTGGGTGCACCTGTTGTTGGGAAGCCAACATTGCTGGGGCTAGCTGTGGTTGGGTTGCAGAGGGACTACCAGGAGTAACAGTGGGGACATCGGTTGCAGGTGCACGTGTTGTTGGGAAGCCAACATGCTGGGACTCGCTGTGGTTGGGTTGCAGAGGGACTACAGGAGTCACGGTGGTATTCCGTTGCAGGTGCATGTGTTGTTGGGAAAGCCAACACTGCTGGGACTCGCTGTGGTTGGGGTTGCAGAGGGACTACAGGAGTAACAGTGGGGACATCGGTTGTGGGTGCCCTGTAGTTGGGAAGCCAACAGTACCTGGGCTTGCAGTGGTTGGTGTTGCAGAGGGACTTCCAGGAGTCACAGTGGGGATTCTGGTTGTGGGTGCAACTGTTGTTGGGAACCCAACACTGCTGGGACTCACTGTGGTTGGGGTTGCAGAGGGACTTCCAGGAGTAACAGTGGGGACATCGGTTGCGGTGCATGTGTTGTTGGGAAGCCAACACTGCTGGGACTCGCTGTGGTTGGGGTTGCAGAGGGACTACCAGGAGTCACAGTGGGGACATCGGTTGTGGGTGCCCCTGTTGTTGGGAAGCCAACACTGCTGGGAGTAGCTGTGGTTGGGGTTGCAGAGGGACTACCAGGAGTAACAGTGGGGACATCGGTGTGGGTGCCCTGTAGTTGGGAAGCCAACAATCTGGGCTTGCGTGGTTGGGTTGCAGAGGGACTACCAGGAAGTACCCCCCCAAACAGTTTTGGGGGGATTCTGGTTGTGGGGGCACCTGTTGTTGGGAAGCCAACACTGCTGGGACTAGCTGTGGTTGGGGTTGCAGAGGGACTACCAGGAGTAACAGTGGGGACATCAGTCGTGGGTGCCGTAGTAGTTGGGAAGCCAACACTGCTGGGACTCGCTGTGGTTGGGGTTGCAGAGGGACTACCAGGAGTAACAGTGGGGACTTCAGTTGTGGTTCCCGTGCCTGCTACAAGCACAATACTGGTTGCAGATGTCCCTGCAATACCTAGAGCTGAATTGAATGCCTGAAGGAAAACCATGTTTTCTTCTTCAGAGCTAAATAGTGCACTTCCGTTGGGCTGCGTGCTTGAAACTGTGAACACAATGGATTGTCCGGATTGTAGTCTTCTATTTTGGACGCGTCTTGTGATGGTGACACTGAGAATCGTTGGAGAGCAGCTGCTTTTTGGTACTGCATTATATCCAGAAATAAAGGCAGTCACCAAAAGATCATTCGAAATGCTGGATATGTCATTGTCGATTGAAACAACATAATCTGCCTGGGTATCAATGGTCTGGATATTGCATTCTTCAGAAGTGGCTGTTGGTGGGAGTGTCAGAACTGTTGTGGGTCCTGGAGTTAGCTCAATGGAGGGTTCAGAGGTTGGCACATCTGTTGATGCTTGGGTTGGTGCAATTGTCTGTTCAAATGTTGGTTTCGGTGTAGGTGATACTGTGGGATCAAATGTAGGGGCTGGTGTAGGTTCAGAGGTTGGATCAGAGGTTGGCTCAAAAGTTGGCATTGTAGTTGGATCTGGAGTATCCATTTGTGGGGTGGCGGTTGGGATTCCTGCTGACTCTTCTTGTGCAGTGGGAGTATTGACGCCCATTTCAGCATTGGTAGGCATTCCCACAGGAACTGTAGGGTCCACATTCGTTGGACCAGCACCATTCAGCGAAGGGGATACCGTGGTACTGGGGCCTGCAACAGGGGCAACAGGCATAAGTGGTGATGGAAGACCTCCTGCTGAATCTTGTGTTGCAATGGGCATGGAAGCTGAACCATGATGTGGCGAAGAATCAGCCCCATGGCCAATCGGTGAGCCTGGTGTCTGCGAAGGACCATTTCCCATACCAGGATTTCCTGAGTCACCTACTGACATGACTGTACCAGTGGGACTTCCTAGAGTCGCCATAGGTGCAACAACTGTAGGAGTATTTACCGAAAGATCAGAATAGGAGTTTACATTAGGCGCTTCTGCACCTGCTGCTCCAGACGTGGGATTGTTTTGATTTCCAATTGTGGGGCTATTGCCACCCTGTGCTTGTCCCGAGGACCCTGCTGGTGCTATCGAACTGGAAGGACCTCCCAACATGCCAGCTCCGCTGGGCGTGCCTGAAGTGCCCTCAGCAGCAGGGCCATTAGCAGTAGCAGGAGAGCCAGGCATAACTCCACCACCAGCAGAGGAAGGAGGTTCAACGAGAGATGAGGGTCCAACAACCATATTTGGAGAGCCCAGCACTGCTGACGGAACATTGCTACCATTTGCAGGATCTCCCTGACTTGCGGAAGGGAATATTGCGGTTGGGGCTATCAGTGTTGGTGCGGTAAGAGTGGGGTTCCCTGCCACTGAACTGGGACCAGCTGCTGGCATTTCCAACCGATCTCCACTGCCAGAAGTGCTAGAAGGAGGAAAGTATGCAGGACTCATTTCCGTTGTTTCAATGCTGGGAGAGTTCTCAAGACTGCTGGGTGATGAAAGTGTTGGGCCTGAAATTGGGGAGCTCTGCGTGGATCCACCAGCATTTGGGCTTAACCCTGGGCTTGTGGGACTCCCTTCTGTTTCCTGGGACATTTCAGCAGGAACATCTTCAGAATCTGTACCATGAGGAGCAGGCGTTGGCTCATTCGTCAAACTTCCTGTGCCACCACTGCCTCCGCTCACATCAGTGTTCAGCGCATCTGCTTCTTCTGATGCTGCTTCCAAAACTGTGGGCAAGATCTCTTGGCATTCCAGGGAGGTTGGATTTTGCAAACACAGTGAAAGAGTTTCAGCCCCCACATCAACATTGTTCAGTATTTGGCAGATCTCATTCTCAGATGAAGCATCATTTACATCCAGACACTTTTCAATATCCTGGAGAATATCGCTAACAAAGGCGGTTCTGATTGTGCCGTTGTTGTCTTCAACCACCAGATATGCTTCCGCAATTGCATCAGCATCAAGGGATGACACAGTTGCATTTCTATCTGCCACACCATCAATGATGAGTCTTGTGAATGCAGATACCACCCTAGCTTGAATTGAACTGTTGCTGGTGATGGTGACACTCTGATTTCCATCTCCCAGTAGCACAGGTTCCAAGTTATAGCCAAAGGATGCCACAAAGATGGAAAAGAATTCTGACAGGTCAAATTGGAGCAGCTGCCTATGCCAATGTGTATTGCTGTGGGCTGCCACCAACATGCGCGCTGTGTCAGCAAGATCCTCAACTTCGAACAGTGGTTCATGGTCAGGACATCCATTACAGTCCACACGAGCCGTCCAATAAGTAGTAGTCACTGATTGTGCCACAGCAGCATCATATTGTTCCTGCGTAAAGTTTAACACATCGTCCATGGTAATATTCGAGCCTACCCCCCAATCCGTCTCCCATTCCAACAGTACGGCTTGGTGCAAGACACGGACCATGGGGTCTAGGCACATTCCTGTGATGCTATTGTAAATGTCACGGAACATTTCTTCTAGTGCCCATTTCCGCTCCTCGAGGGCAAGAGGTGGCAATGCCGCAATCTGCAACTCCAGAGCACCAATTTTCTCTGTTGTTTCTTCCATGCATACTGGTGGTGTGAAGTTGCCAACCATGTAGGGAGCTGGAGCTGGTGGGACAGCGGGTGCGGTCGCAGTTGTTATAGCAGCAGCAGTGACCGCCGCTGTTGGGTGGAGTTCAGAAATATGAAAGGCAAGAAGAGAGAGGCAAGAAGAGGCAATTTAGCGAAGAAGAAGACAATGATGCTGGAAGCCCACAAGAACTTCAACAAGAACTTCAACAAGGACGATAGAGCGCCACAGACAGTAACAGAGCAGCAAGGCCACCCCAGCCGCGCATTTCGAAGGACTGGAAGTACGTAATGGAGGACAAAATGAACCTTGTGTCAAGCAGCGAACCCGCCAGGTTGGCAAAGCTTTCGAAAGACTTTACGTGCGAGCTTGTTCAAGACGAATCGTAGATATCCAGACGTAGTTCTTTGCGCTCTTGTTGTTGGCTCTTGTCGAGGTTGCGTGTTCATGATGCTGGACATCGACTCTTGATGGTGGAACCTGTTCAGTGTCAATAGCCATGCCCCCCGCAATAAGTGGGGAGAAAGCATTGATTCTGCAATGACGAGATCTGGTTTGAACAACGGTCCTCGTTGCCTCAAAAGCCACAACTCTGACGTAGAAAGCATGGGAGTTGCCAGTGTCCCGAATATCGATCTGTGGGGCATTGAGCCACACACACGCATGGAGGATGTAGAGGTCCCTCATTTGGCTGACAGCAGTGCACGGAAGAATTCTTCGAGGATGCTCGATTCGACGTACAATCGTTTTGTGGACGCCATTTCGTGCGCCCGTCAACTCTTGCTCGGCTTTGATGCGCATTTCCATTCCATCAAACAGGGGGAAAGCAGTCCAGCAAACATACAACCGGCACGGTACAATGCGTGTGCGGTACGAGACGATGTAGCCAACAACGATTGCGTTTCAGTCGGTCAGTCAGAACCTACCTACACCCACCGCAACGCTCGCTTGAGCCGCAATACCAGCACCGGCCACAGCTCCTGCCGCTGCGGCCATTCCACCCTGCAAAACGAAGTAAGATGAGGTATGGTATGAGTCCAGTCCATATGTATGTCCCGAGGCGCCAATCCGTTGCTTGTAAAACACTCACCACAGATCCCGCCGCCGCCGCAGCTCCAGCCGCCGCAGCCCCACTAGCGGCTCCTCCGGCCGCACTGTTTCCCTGCAAAACGAAAACGATGGGGGATGACGATTGTGTAAGCGCAGACGATCGAGGGACTTTCACGCCAAATCAAAAACCAGCCAGCTAGCAAGCCATCTAGTTGTGAATCACTCACCGCCGCAGCTGCCATTTCGGCAACGCCTGGAGGAGGGCCGGCGGCTCCACCGCCACCTCCCCCTCCTCCGGGTGGACCTCCCAAGCCTCCCTGAACACTCTGCGAGATGGGATTAAAGCCAGGATCGACGGCATCCATGACCTCTCCTGCCAAGTCATCCATGCCTGGCATGTCATCTACGTCCGCATCCATATCGTCTTCTTCTCCTTTTCCCAACTTTTTCATAGTCCACTTGTACATACAGCCAAAGCACTTGGTGAAATGCTCCAAGAGCCTTTGAAAGATGCCATTTCCAATGTACCCGTAAAGGAATCCCAGAAAGCCATCCCGAATCGCAGCCTCCTTTTCTTGAGCACTGTCCACAGAGGAGATCTCGTCCTCCTCCTTCTCACTGTCCGAGCCGCCCTCTTCCATCATGAGTGCCAATTCATCCTCTTCCTCCACCAGGGCTTTGCTGTCTTCTTCTTCTTCTCCCTCCTCGTCATTCTTCTTCTTCTCGTTGGGGTCGTACGTGTATTGCTGCAGTGCCAAGGTGCGACGGCTCAGCGAGTCTCGGTTCGTCGACAATTCGGACGACCTCTCTGATCGTCGCAGGCTACTTGAAACTTCTCCCTCTTCCGTCGTCATTGTGTCTACTTCCGTACAAGTTCTTCTAGCTGGCTACTAGAGGTATCAATCAATCAATGGTTCTGATAAACGTATTCTGTTGTGTTGTTTAGCCACAAAAGCTGCAAGTTTTGTTGCTGGCGTTGCGAGCCTAGCTTGCTGGTTTTGCCTGCGAGTGCATGCCAAGTGGTTGCCAACCCGCCAAGTGATGTCCCATGGTCGGAAGAGTTCCCACTGTTTAAAAAAGATCTGCTAGCGCATGGTGACTGCTAACTGCTGACTGCTGCTATGACGCTATGACCCTTTTCATGACCATTGGCCAGCATTAACTTATGACTGTATTCCAAGAGTCGATAAGTCGATAATTCTTTGCGGTTCTGGAGTACGGTGGAAGACAGCTTGAAAGGTATTTACTGGTAATAAAAGGTAAATGGCACAAGGCCAGGGGCCAGGGGGACCACACCATTGTTACATTGAGTGACATTGTGACCAGCTAGTGACCATATTAATTAATACATGTCCAGTAAGAGCATTAAGATCAGATCTTAGTTCTTTGGCTTCTGTCTTAGTTCGGGTCCCAGTGTTCTGAATGCTGGGTTCAAAATCAATTGGCAACGGTTTCCATTGTTCCGGTGCATTGAGTTACCAATTTCACTGTGCATATCATACCGCAAGCCATCATCTCATGTTTTCTGATCTTCAATGCCGCGAAAGCATCAGTGGCGACACTTTAGATCCAGTCTTGATGTTTGGCGCAATAAATCGCTCAAGCTTTCTAAAGAGGAACCCTTTGAACCCTTGACGACTGTACAGTAAGCTGCTGAGGTGCTTGGATGGAACTGTCTCGTTCAGTCGTGCTAAAAAATGAGGGTCAACAACAGGCAGAAAACATCCACACTCCCACGACAACAACCTTCGACCGACCATGACAACCTTCGACTGCTCGGATGAAACGATCCCCACGATGATGGTTGGTCTCTTCGTATCGTGGCACAATGCATCATCAGGGGCTCATAAATTGGATTCTGGAAAACCTATAACACACTGTCGAATCGAATCTCTAGCTGTCAGTCACTACAAACAACATCGACCATGCCCTACCCGTTCATGGACTACTTCGACGAGCTGACAATAGAGGAACAACAGGAACTGCAAGATGTGATCGACGCGGCGGTCGAAGCACAAGGAAATGAAGAAGAAGAGGAAGAAGAAGAAGAATTTCAAGACGAAGTGAATAGTCGGAAACGAGCGCGAGACGAAGAGAATGATGAATGCTTAGATTACGAGCACCCTGATTATCGCGATGAAAAGAGGCGCAAGGTGGAAATAACGTTAGCAATGATGACAAGAAGCGATTGGGTACCCCATCTCGAGAAGTGGATGCACCGTGTCCAGAAGGTTCACTTGGCTGGGCTCACAGAGGAACAAATCGAGTATGTCTTCAGCATCGCTGAACAAGAATATGAGAAAAAAGTGGAAGATCAGGAATTGTGCGTGCTTGAAATGATGGAAACGGTGAAAAAAACGATAAGGAAGGGACAGTTCAAGAACCAGAACGAGTGGTTGGAGCCTCTTGGATGGGAGGCTCTTTCAGCAATGGACAAAGTATGGTATGCACAGAAAAAGAAGAAAAGGAAGCAGAAATACAAATATCTTTCTGACGAGTGCCACTACAAAACTCATCGTTCCCTTAGGGGCCTGTACTTCTAAAGCCACTAATAAGAGCATCGTCAGAAAGAAACACATAAAATTTGCGTACTAGCTAGTACATCTAAGTCCGTCCGACTTTCAAAAGAATAAATAACTAAGAACTAAAGAATACAAAACGAATGATTGGATTGCCTGGTAGATAGACGTTGCATAATGTAGTTACTGTACACGTAGTTTGATTGGGACTGGTACCGCTACCGGTACCAGTAGGCAGCATGATTGCTACAAGCCATCTTTCTTTCGGCTAGCGGCCATCGTGACTCGCACGTCGTCGAGCGAGAGCAAGTGCTCGCCAGCCACGAGGGAAGGTACTGTATGGCTCCAGACGCTCCGCCGTTCACGGAAATGATGAAATGAGCGATCGTTGACTGAGCCCCCCAATCCTGTCAAACACGCTGCGCTCTTCTTGCTTCAAGAAATAAACGCTGCCTCGTCGGTGGAATATGGCCACGTTCTCACGTTCTGTCTGGCGACCCTTGGGGGGCTTCAATTCAGCCAGTCTCGGCAATCTATCTGTTCTTCGTTGGAGTGCATGCAAATGGATGGGCCACACGTTTGCATCAATGCCGTCGACTGTCGCTCGACTCACTTGAAACTGCAACACTCATTGTCCTTCTACGTACCAGGTACCGTACTATTAACAGCTAGTTTGTAGTGGTTCCCTGTGTCTTTTAACTCCCGCGGTTCGTTGCCGACGAGTAAAAGGCACACCGCGAGGCGCAGGAACACGACAAGCTGCGTTTAAAATGAGACAAACCGTTTCAAAATGGAAGAGAGCAAAGAAACGTTTCTAGACTCCTTCCTAAAGTCGAGTAAAGCATTCGTCAACTTACAATCAGAGAATCCACGTCAACGACCACAGGCAATGAACTAAGATCGGCAAAAGGACTCTCGGCGCAACGTAATCGCTCTTCTCAGGAACCTCGAGACGACAAGGAGCAAACCAACGACCACAAGCAAGCAACCAAGCAACGAAGATCGGCCAGAGGGCCAGAAGGGCTCTCCGTACAACATTCTATCAAGGAAACGGACTTTTGCAAGAACCGTTGGCAACGACAAGAAGTCATGATGACGACGACGGAAGATGAAGCCCTCAGCCAAAACAACTCTCAGCCAAAGCAACATCGACAGATTGAAAGCTCGTGGGATTAATGGCAGCGACACCAACGGAGTCATCGCAGTCTTATTGCATCGGCTGGACGAAAAGAACGATCAGTTGAAGACGAAGGGCCAACGTATCAACAGGCTCGAATCGAAAAATGAGGCGCTAGAGAGGCGTCTTCCAACTCGGAAAGGGCACTTCCCATATTGCTATCTAGCTACTGCGGGGGAACCGGTACCGTCAAACAGTTTTCCTTTGCGGGCATGATCGCGTTGCTGCTTGCAGTACAAAGCACAATCAGCACAATGCTCCCTGAAGATTCTGACGATCCAGAGAAGGTCTTGAATGTCATGAAAAGCAACGGGGCATTCAACAAACATGTACCGGCCGAGAACGTTCCAGGACTCGAGCGCGTCATTAGAGCCGCCATCGATCCAAAGTTCCCCCACTTCAACGTTGCGGTGCTTCTACACTTGTGTCGTCGCAAGAGAGCAGTCAGGACTCCGCCCAACAATCATGTTCATGTGGGTCTACCGAGTCGGCAGCACGTTATCGCTTTGGGAAACTGCAAGTTCTCCGAAGACGAGATACCGGAACCTCGACCAACCGAAGTGACACAGTTCCTGGACAACTTGAAAGCGGCCGAACTAGAATATTTTTTAGCCAACAATGGGGAAGCCCAATATCAAGCAAGACCTTCCGCGTGTGAGCACGCTGAGCATATTGCCGATGTTCTCGAGGGAAGGCGAGTCCCAACACACTGTGAGGTTTCTCTTTTGCGAGACGAGAACACAGAAACCGGTCAAGCGAATGTTGGTTCTCCGCCGCCCATTGCGTCTCCATCTCCAAGAAGAACGCCCGGTGTCAAGAAACAGGCGACACCAAGTGTAGCCTCTGCTGTCACCCGGAAATTGCCGCACAAAATCCCTCAATACCGGTACAAGTGCAGACACCAGTCCATTGGTTCAACTGTTGCGGCATCAGGAACGAGAACTCCAGGTTCAGCTAATCGATCTCGCGGATCCTCTGTACCGGCATCCCATACTCCCCGTAGTCAAAACCGTTCGGGCACAAAAGCTCCCGGTGGAAAAGGCCGAAACAAACACGGCCTGAAATCTCCTACCAACGGTACCGGTACAGGACAAGCATCGCGGCATCCGAGTCCAAACCGTTCGGGAAGTGCAACTTTCCGTGGACAAAGCGGAAACAACAAAGCCTCCACAAGTCCTACCGCAGCGCGCATGAGTGGACAAACCCAGTCTCGAAAACGAGGGAGCAGTGAAGTAATGTACGATAGCCAGAGGAACAGGCGAAGGAAGCGGAAAAGAGAGCGAAGCGCAGCAAGAGATTCGGCAACGATTAAAGCGGTACACGATGATTGCCCGTAAGCTCCTGACAATAGCGCTCTTGCCGGCGACATCACCAGAACCAAGCATGTGTGTCCCGATAAATCCATTGTGTTGTGCTCCGGGCAATTTGGTTTGAAACTGCTGCAACTACTAGTATTAAAAGCTAGAACTCCGTCGGTGCAGATTTGGCGCCCTTGCTTCCTGATGTCATCTTTCCCGTCCGTTCTTTGGTTGTCGGCTGCATGCGGTAGTCTAGCTAGTGCAACCGATCAGTAGTTGTAATTTATAAACTTGCTTTCCGAACTTGTCTGTTAAAACAAGTCCAATCGACTACATGTCATGCTCTCCAGTCAATTGTTGCAGTAGTTCTGGTGGAAACACGTCCGCGTCATTGGGATCTGTAGGCAAAGGATGAAACAGGACGTCGATCTGTTCATTCTTTGGCAGGATTGTTCCAACTACGCCGTTTGGAGCTTGTTTCATTTGCAGATGGAACTTGTGTTTGTCGTTGTTATGGGCACATCGCACATGAGTGCCATCTGGGGTAGTGCACATGATGAAATAATCTTCCAAAGGCATTCCGGGGCATTGCAGCTGGGCTATAATGAGACTTTGTTTGGTTCTACTCGCCATGGTACCTCCATTCTTCGCCAGAGCACGGCGGTACCATTTGGCCCCCTGTAGATGATTGCCCGCCATGCAATAGGAAGCCCCCAGGTTGTGCAGATGATCCACCTTGTCTGGTTCTAGTTCCCAGATTCGTTTCGCACACGCGGTGTGAACTCTGCAGAGCTTGGAAGTGTCCAATGTTTGTGGATCCAATGATTCGTGCAGAATGGTTTCGGCGGTCTGCAGGAGCGCGATGTAGCTTTGAAAGGCGAGTTGTTTGTTGTTGCCATTCTCTGGAACAACACTAATTTTGTGTGCATACTCGAGCGCTTCTTCCAGATCGCCGTGTGCCATGGCCGCTGTAATGCAGTAATCCGAGCACATGATCGGATAGTATTCGTCGTCTTGTGGATCAAAATGACACGTCAGTGTCTGGAGGATTTCATAGGCTTCCTTGGGTTTGTGTCTCCTCTCTCTCAGCCACTTGGCATAGTTTCCGGCCATGCGGAAATCGTCCGGTTTGGTCTTGTAATAATGTTGGAACCAAAAGTCAATCTGGTCCATATCGCGTCGTTGCTGTGAAAACACGAGTTGGTTGCGGACGGCATTTTCGTAGAGGTCACTGACAGCGGTATTCTCGTTCAGTTCGAAATCGAGCAATTGCAAATTCTCTCCCTTGACGCTCTTGGACATGGTAGCGCCTAGCAATTTCATCGTTTGGTCTTGTTCTTGTTGGAGTGCATACAGCAGTACTGGATACCTCTTGGGGCCGTCGTTGTCGTTGTCATTGTCATTGCCTGCCTTTTGCTTCTTCTTTTTGGGAGCCATGATAATGCCATGACCACCATTCAGCTTTTGGCCCGCTTCACTCTTCAAACCAAACACTTGCACAAGCGCATCCACTTGGAAACAACTACTAGTACCGGCGTCATTATCATCATCGTTATTAGAAGAACTCATGCCGTAGTAGTTGTACTGGAAATAATGAGAGGATCAGATCCAAAGAAGGGAATGGATGGCTACCCAATTGGGGGGACAAGAAGTTGCAAAAGATAGACCCCCCTGTGCACCGAGGTAGAAAGCTACCTTGTAGCTTTCTCCCCTCTCGTTTTTGGGGGATCAAGATTGGTCCCCTTACACTCTACCAACCAAAGATATGATATCAAAGATATTGGAATCAAAATCTTTGCTTGACAAGCGGACATACCATCATTTTCCCAAGCAAAAGGCAAGTGGTTGAAGACCTGAGGTCTCCTTAGCTCCAACACACTAGATAGATTGGGAGCCCAGGACTTGATCCACCAGCACAGCAAATTTCTTTTGTGCATCATGCAGTCACAACGGGGGCAACGACGCCATCGTCTTTTGCCACCAACCACAATCATACACTGCATCATACCCCTCTTTCTGCTTCTCGTTGGATATCTCCACACTGAACATGGTGTCCAAGCATTCACTACAAGAAGAACTCCACAGCCATCAGGTGGTTCTTTCTTTGGTGGTCAAAATCAACAAACCTCCAATCAAGCCCACCACAATAAGTTGATCCCGGTTCTTGCACCTTCAAGAAGCCAAACATCAACATCCTGTTTATCGGTCACCAATAAGATTAAAAGGATGTCACTGATCACCCTTCCACCACAAACAGCACTGAACCTCAGAGCAACCAAAACCCATCAGAGAATAATAAACAAAGCTGATCACATTTGGAGAATGATGCCAACCTCAGCACAGTCACATCAGACAACAATCCTACTTGGGATCAGAATATTGCAGCAATGATGGAATACAAAGAGATCCATGGCACTGTCAACATACCCGCACAGTCAAAAGAATAGAATATCCAAACCTAGGATTATGGATGCAAAATTAAATGTGAGGCGGCAAAAGGCCCGGTTGACACAGGAACAGATCACTCAGCTGGGCAAGATTGGGTTTTTATGGACTGGTGCACACCAACGTGGACAAGCATGAGAGGTGGTGGATGGCAATGTTTGAGGCATTGAAGGAATACAAGGGAACTCATGGACACTGCAGAGTTCCTATCAAACAGGGCAAACTAGGTGCATGGGTCAGAACTCAGCGCAGGTTGTACACTACTGGTAATCTCAGAAAGGACAGACAGGAAATGCTAGAATCCATTGGGTTTGAGTGGAGATTAAGACAAGGTGCTCCTAAGGATAATCCAGAGCAGAAAGCACTGTGGAGTTCTCAATTTGCTACACTGTGTAAGTTCAAGGATGAACATGGCCATACGCGTGTCCCATCTCGATATCCAGAAAACAGAGAACTTGGCATTTGGGTCTTCAATCAGCGGAATCGAAACAAAGATGGCACCTTGCGGAGATTTATGAAGAATCTTGGCTGGAAAGCTTTGAGCAGCTAAAGCACTGTTACGCCAAGAAGCTTGCTACGGGAAAGCCAATTTGTTGGTGGGCAAACAACCAGAGGAGACTCTTTTCAAAGGGTTCACTTGAACCAGAGAGGAAAGCATTGCTGGATGAAATTGGCTTTGAATGGTGGGAATAACGACTTTTTGCTAAATTATTATTGCATGAGGAATAACGAATATCAAGACTGCGAGATTGGCTTGACGTTACACCACCAGTGCTCGAAACTTCTCTCTACCGTACTGTAGTGGCTAGTTAGCAGGAAAGGTCGTGGTACTGGTAATGTGCTCGGCATCTCAAAAAAGTGTCCGGCAGCACACTAGACTATGGAAGCCAATACGGTACAAGGTGGTGGTGTAACTTGACAGAAAGCAACAATTGTCATCCAAAGTAGGCGTGTCCTTTTGCTCCAAGACGGCCGGGGATGGCATGTGTGGCCTAGCTACTAGAGCATGAATGACACTAGAAATAAATGACGCCTCTGTCCAGACTGACGCTCAAGCTGAGAGAGGGGTAAAACTAAAATTCCCTCAACGCAAACTTTTTAAAATTACACCCATGCAATCAAGACTGCCGTCCCCAAAACAGTCTTCCTGGCTGACCCTCAATGGAGGGATGAGAACACGGACAAGAATCGCAGAGGTGTGCTTGCCTGATGAAGTGCGGTAAAGCGATGGATACGTGACCAAGGTAGTCGCACGTTTTCCCTACTGGTACGCTTCAAATTGCGCCGAAATCATTCGTTGCACATGCGCTTGTAGCTCAGGGAGAATTCCATTTTCCATGGTCCGAATCGACTCGTCTCGTCACTCGTTTGTTGTGTTGTGTTGTGTTGTGTTGTGTTGTGTTGGAGAATCGAATGTATCTATCATTCATTCATTCTTTGGAAGATGGTTGCTGTTCTTTTATCCGTTCCAGTACTCTTTCCATGGAATCCTCGACCAACAAGGCTCCCGTAAAGTCTAAATGTGCCGTAATGGGATGATGGGTAATAATTACTTTGGCGCCTGCCTTGATTCCTCCTATGAGTCCATTCTTGGAATCTTCAATGACCCAACATGTTTTCGGATCTTGGTTCAGTAATTGGGCCGCCTTTAAAAACAAATCGGGCGCCGGTTTGCAATTTTGCACGTCATCACTGCAGCAAATGTGCGAAAAGTACTGTATCAATCCCAATTTTTCCAACCAGGGATCCACCCAGGCGTGGTCGGAACTGGATGCTATCGCGAGTGGAATGCTGTGTTTGCCAAAGTACTCCAACGCGGCACGAATCCCCGCGCGAGGACCCGCCGTCTCGAGATGATTTCGTACAAATGCACTGCGAGGTTTGTGTATTGCAGGCCAATCATAGGTTTTGTTCGTCAACGATTCCAAATGTGCCTCGGGCGACCAGGCATCGTAATCGGATCCGACGCATTGGGCCCATACATGAATCGGCAACTCGACGCCCTCGGTTTGGTAAATGTCCCGCCAAGATTCGTACTCGATCCATTCCGTATCCAAAATGGTGCCGTCAAAATCAAAAATGACGGCCGATGGAAGAGACAGATCGGGTGGTGCATACTGTTGTGTGGGCGGCGGCGAGGAAGAGTGCATCTTGAGGATCAGTATAAGCAATGGGGTGGGCTGCATGGTTGGTTTGAGGTTGGTCGGCCGATACTAGTAGGCCGACATTGGAGTGAAAAACAAATACTAAATAGATAGATCTACGTTTTAAAGGAGGCCGACATTGGATGTTGTTGTTGTGTCATCAGACAAGTCGTGTTGAAGGATTCGATGGGTGGAAAGGAAAGAACAGAATAGAAGCTTTTGGAGTTCTTACAGGATGGTCCACTCACTGGTCGTACTCGTACTTACGCGTCTGGCAGAGCAAAAAGCACCTGCTTTCCTACTTCTTACAGCTGTACTGATACATGTACCTTTAACCTGCAGCTGGGCGGTACCACGTCACACGAAGGTACTAGTAGCCCTGTACAGATTACAGTGAATGCAGGCCATGACGCTCTGTTCGAGCCGAGGTCATGGAAACCAAACCTCCGTCTTCCTCTATTGCTTGCTTTCAGATCTGATACTCATTGAACATACATGTAAGAAATCGATTCTTTGGGATCAGCTCTGGACCATGGAGCCTCTCCAACCAGTGCTTGACAGCAACAGCAGTGTTCCTCTTTCTGATACCTCATTGGCAGCTAATAATAACACTGCAGACATTCAGGAAGAAGTGTGTGATCCAGTGGCAGCTCCTGATACAGGTACCACAGTTGATGATGATGGGGACCTTGTGATTAATAAAGACTTGGGTGTTGTTCAAAGAGACAAGACGTTTCAGGAGGCAAGTCTTTCCGTGGAGCCCTTACATCCGTCTTCTGAGGAGGCAGATATGATTGATAAGCTCTTGGCGGAGGAAATGGATAAGCTGTCGTTTGAAGAAAAGGAGCGGACCACGTTTGACATTCATGGGATGGCCCAGGAATCTCACGATCCTGAGAACATAAATGAGCTGCTGGAGCAATTGGAGCAGGAAATTCGAAAGATACCCAACCGAAAAGCATATGAAAAAGCCAAGTATTTGAATGAAGAATATGTAACGGGTCGGGAGTTTCGGCTCCTGTTTCTTCGCTGCGAAAAGTTTGATGTCAAGTCGTCAGCGCAAAGAATAGTAACACATTTGGAGAACAAAATGGATATGTTTGGCGGCGGACCTGCCTTGGCCCGAAAGCTGCGTTTGAGTGATCTCAATGAAGATGATGATGTCAAGGCTCTCAAATCAGGGGCATGGCAGCTCTTGCCTGAGTGTGATGCTTCTGGCCGTCTGGTCGTGGCATTTTCACCTACTTGTATAGATGGCTCTCTGGCTGCGAAATGTCATGTATGTATAGTCTATCCAAAGTGGAGTGGAACGGCAAGCTCGTGGTATCCACATTTTGGTCCCTGATATTTTGTTGTTTTTTCTGATTCGATTCAAATGCAGCAACGTGCCTTCATGCTTTTCATAATGTCGATTCTCCAAACTGAGGATGCACAAAAGAAGGGCATTGTTATTGTGATGTGGTGGTCAGGGCATTCTCTGCTACAAGTACAACAAAGTCTATTCACCCAAGCACAGCTAATGAAGAAACTCAGGCCTGGGATCCCTCGCAGGGTGGCTGGTGTCCATTTCCTGCTCAGCCAAAAATGTCTACGCCCGTTGGTTGGTGGCATTCGTTGGTTCCTCCACGAGGAACTGAGGGCTCGAATCCGAGTTCACTTTGGGGACTTTGAACAGCTCAAATTTGCATTGCAGACCTTTGGAATCTCAACAGATCGTTTCCCATTCCGTCCAAATAATGAACCCATCGATCTGGAGAATCATCTTCAATGTATTCAGAGCTGGCGCAAGCAGGAAGAAAAAGGCAACACAAGTGGCATTGATATCATAGTCCCCCGTCGATTTGATGTCCTCTTTGGACGAGGACTTCAAACAAGGAATCACACAGGCAACCTGAGAGCTGCACATATTGCTGACATGTTTCGAGACAAGTATGAGGCGGCACGAAAGTATGAAAAGACAGCAATTGCTGCACGCATTGTCACAATTATCCTAGAATCGCACGGTCGGTTTTTGAAATGGGAAGACAATGCATGGGAAGGAGTGGACCAAGAAACCGCAAGGAACAAGGTATGTACAAAAATGAATGTAACTGTTGGCACGGAGAATTGATTTTGCTCACTGTGCTCACCCAATCCTTGGTTGTAGATTTCCCACTTTTATCGAAACACGCGCAACACAGATTGCCCCAGCAAAAGCAAGGCATCTCCATCTGATGGCTCTGCCAATGTTGGAGCAACCAGCTCAGAGGGCAATTCGTTGGCTTCAGCTTTGTCTAAGCGGGCACAATCAGATTCAATGCAACAATCACCACAGCAAATTCAGAAACTGTGCCAACGGGATAGCGAGCTCAATAATGGGTTGTCGAAAGGTTGATAGATTGGCAGATAGCCGACAGGGTCGGTAACTAGAATGAACGCAAGGGCCAAATGGGCTTTGCCTCTTGGGAAGGGGAGGGCAGAGCAGACTGGTGTTGCAAACCAATCGCTGGAACAAGGAACGAGGGCCGAGGTTGCAGGGTTGCAGCAACAGATCCCCCCCTGGAACAGAGTATCTCGGGGGGGAACTTGAGAGATGGTGCAGTGTATGTGGACTACATCGTCTCCCTCCTTATACTAGTACTCGATGATGGATGCTGTGACCGATGTTATCAGGAAGGGATCTTTGGATGATCAAATTGGCAACCAACAACTACAAAGGAGTGGCTACCGCCTCACTGGCCTTTCTCTTTTTGGTCTTTTCATTTCCCACCCCCACAGCCTCTGTCTTCACTTTTTTGGATTCTTTGGTCGGGGCATTTGTAACCGAATCTTCCAAGGGGACTGCTGCGTTCTCTTCTGGATTCTCTTTTTTGTCGCGAAGAGAGCGACGGACGTTAAGACGGCATGCGGCACACATGCTTTCTCGGATCGTCTCGGAAATCTCCAGCCACGATGGTTCCTGCGCTGGGTCTTGCTGTCCAAGCCATTCTCTCACCAACTCCCGACGCAAGTCCAAGTCGTCAGTGCATACGTTCTTAGGACGGTCGAATTGGAACATCCATCGCAGCTGATGGTGCTTGATGTGATCGATTGTGTATGCTAGCGATGCAAAGTCCAGATCCGCGGCGAGCCTGCCATGGAAATCATCTCCAAGAAGGCGGTCATGGGCATATGGTGTACAGCCATGAAAAGATTTCAGTGCCCGCTTGCCTTGAACAGAGCATCCCCAATCAGAGAGCATCACAGATGGTTCTTCATTTTCTTCCTCAACCTTCACAATGATGTTCCCAGGTCGTACATCCAAGTGATAAATGGACTTGCTGTGAGCGTATTTGAGAGCCTCGTACACATTCGTAATGATGTGCACGGAATGTGTTTGCCACATCTGTTGAGGCAAGCGGTGAAGGGGCAATCCAACAACTCCATTCAATCTCAAACCAATCAACTCTGAAATCTCGCCTCCAATGACGGTTCGAATTCTGGAAATTGGATTCCCATTTTGACCTTCCACCAATAGCGGTCGTGGGATACCTGGATTGTCTCCGGGACGACTTAGAGTACCAAAATATCTGCTTCTCCTTCTAAGCTTGTTGCCAGAGCCGCTGGTTTCGGTATCTTCATAAACTCTTCCGGTCCGAGCTGTACAACGTTGGCAAAGGCACCCGAGGCAAGATAATCGACAACCACTAATTCTTGTTCCTCGGGGTGCACCTGCTTGATGGATGCCTCAGTACCGAAGTCTTTGGGAATTTCATGTTTCAAGGCCCCAGCCAGGAGAACAAACCCATCGGTTGCTTCTATTTCTTCTCCTTTTTCTTTCACGTGTAGCTTCTTGATGCCCTCCGGCAACTCAGTGTCCTTGACGAGCCGCACCGGGACAAGGCCGGTTCCAAGCAAATCCAAAGCAACGTCTGTACTTCCGACGTTGGAAAGATCCATTCGAATTACTTCAATGGACAAAGTAGTAAGAACAATCCCGATACACGAAGAACTGAAACCAACCCCACCAAAAGGAAAACAATACTCCAGCCGCTTCCCGAGATGACCAACCACTTGTGATCGTTCTTTTTCGGTCCCCTTCACGAACTTTCCTCTGTTGGCTCGTCCAACCTTGATCTCAATTGGTTTCTGCACCATAGATGCAAGCATTAGTGGCAAGACTTCTTCACTCTCATTCTTTCCAAAAGAGCCGGCAAGCTGTCGTTCGGCAGTTGGGGCATCCGTTTCTTTGTTGTCGACCATGATTCGAATGATGCGACAGATCACGGCCTGCAGAATCGGTACGCGAAGGGCTACAAGTACGAGGATCAGGATATTCGATGGCGCCATCTTGCTTGGCTGCTACTGGATCAATAATCTGCGACAAATTGGCTTTTGCGACTTTGGCTCTATGGTTCATGTGGGTGCGAACTCAGCAGGTGCACAGGCTTGGAGTCTAAAAGCGGTTCGGAAGTTGGACGACAACTTGGAAGACAACGCTCATACACCTCCTTATGTTGAACAGACTCATGTTCCGCCGACTGGCAGCGCTGGAGTAGCATTAGCTGCACCCGAGTGGGGCTCATCCACGATTGCTCACCGTTCTTTCTCAATACAACAGGAACCCCCATTTACTCTTGTGAATAGCTTTGCATCTGCTCCAAGGACATGGGAACCCCGTTAGCAATCGCAATTTTTTCGTTGGTCATTGTCTTAGATTAATTACAATAAAAAATGTGGATAATTACCAGTCTTTGCAGTAGTTTACCATTCTACACGACAATGGTAGAGTTCAAATAAAACTCCCACATTTCTCGCACTAGCTCTAGCTAGCCAGTAGATCTAGCTAGCAAGAGGCAGCAAACGGAAGATCCTGCCACTGGGCCCTGAGACATCATGGTTCGGATAAAAGTTCGAATAAGGATGAATCGAATATTCAATCATCGATTCGAATAGATCCCATCCGATCATTTCGATTTGCCAACCTCGCCTTTTCTCACAACCAAAGAGCAAGAAAGAAAGAGCCCTTGCCAACAACAATTGATCGATCCATACTGCTTGACCATGGCACTACTTCTTCCGCTAGATCAGCAACAGCAACAGCAACAACAGCAACCTCCACAAGAGGAAGAAGAGACTCTCGAGTCTGTGGCCGAGCGACTCCGGAACAATGAAGGTGGATGTTCCTGTTTGAATGTCCGCATGAATCCCGGCTATGAAGCCGCCGATGTGATGCTGCTGGTGGATGCCGTGCGAGCCAACGAGAGTTTGGAACAAGTGGAGTTCTTTGGTATTTTGGCCGATGACGATGTCAATCAAGCCACACAACTGTTAGTAGAATCCTTTGGGACACTACCGAAACTCAAATTGCTACAAGTGTCGGGACATTGCGACAACTTGATGGGGGTCCTGAGTCGAGTTTTGGCAGATGTGTCGTTGACCCTCCAACAATTGTCTCTGGTCTATGTGCAGCTAAGTGGTCCTCCAAATGACTTTCATTCCTTTTATCGATCTCTGGCAGCCCTCCAAAAGCTAGAATCTTTTCGATTGGTCGACTGCCAATTTCCTCGTCACTTACAAGATGTCGGCATTCTGGAAACAATCCTCCATCGACTTGCCCATCTACCGGTACCACTCCTCCATACACTCGAAGTGGCACCCATTCACGAAAAAGCACTTGGAGATGTCATAAGTATGACTACTGCCTTTACACAACTCTTGGCACGACAATCCACCACACTCCGGCATTTGCATGTCTACGGCTTTTTTCGTGGACAGGAAATTGTGGTGCCTCTCTGTCAAGCACTCGCAAGTTGCCATGCCATTCAAAACGTGCGATTGGCCAGTACCTTCAGTCAAGATCATTGCACAGCCATTGCCACACTCATGGAACAACATCCAACCTTGCAGAAACTGCATCTCGACATGATGGTGGCCCCCGAAACCAATGGAGACACCACCCAGTTACGGTTGCTGGCACTAGCACTCCAGCACAATAATACCAGGCTGACACATTTGAACATTTACGCCACCAACCTGGTCCGATCATTGTTGGCGGACGAATTTGGAACAGCCCTGCAGCACTATAATTATTCCCTGCAACATCTCCACTTGTTTGGGTGTGGTTTGTCTGTGGAGAGTTTTCCGTGCCATTGTAAAGATTAGCGGAGGGTAGTATTCAAGCCTTCTTGCTGGCTTGTGTAATGAGTTGCCAGTTCTAGCTATTTTAGAATAGCTACCGGCGGTAGCTAGACTACATGTAGTTCCGTGAACTGCTTCCGTTTGCGTTTCCTTTCTTGCTCAGTGGGCAGTGGGGTAAATACTGGTAAGATTCTTTTGAGACATATTTCGCAGTCAGAAAGGGTACAGTCTTTAAATCACCAAATCCGACAATTTAATAATCACTTTTTAAGACATATTTTCAAATGTCCTAAGCAGTCTTTTGTTGGTTTGTGACTCTTTTCATCATCTTTCGCAACTGGAGAGAATTCCGTGGCCATTCTTTGCGACTCGACTCACGGTACTGGTAGGTATTAATAGCCGCATACGATACATATAGTAGTGTTTCTTTAGCGCTCCACCCTGTCCTTACCACAAACTCTCATAGTCTCTCATGCCACTCGCACTAGAAAGCAACAGTTACCCTGAACGCTCACCCCCAAGAGTTGAGTCTACCATGGCGATGCAAGAAGAAGAGGAGAGAGAGAGGAAGGGAATGAGTATGAAGAGGTGGAACCACTTCGCTTCGCTCAGATTGGTGGGAGAGTGGTACAGGAGGCAGAAGCAGATGTGGACGAGTCAGAAGCAGTGGACTCGATGGCACGCATTGCCTCACTTCCTCCCATAAAGGGACCTTATGATAAGGGTCGTATGCAACTGACACATCAAGAAAAAACATGGGCCTTGGCCATAAAAGAAGGGATTGAATCTGAGGCTGAAGTGGACAATTTGACCGACTTTTGGTATGCTCAGTTGGCCCTCATTTGTCACGATGATGTGTCCAATGCTATCGAACGAGCACAGCAACTGCAATACTTGCGGGAGGAATACAATATCGTGGAAACATATGAATTTGGTCGCCGTTGCATTCATCAAGCCATATCACTCTTTCCCGATTACTACCTCTGCTTATCATTTAATCACCAAGATGGCAATTATGTGCTAGTGGTGGATTTGACCAAATTGCCCATGAGTACTTTTCGTACGAATCCCAATGCTGTGGACATCAAAGTCTGTGAAATCTATTTCATGAGCCATTTGATGTCACCTGATTTTGAGGCGATTCGACGTGGGATAATTTGTGTGGCAGAATGCGAGGGATACCAAATGCAGCATGACATTGGCGTTGGGATTTGGAGACGGGTCTGGGACATGGTTGTACCCTACCCACTCAATCTGCAAAAAATCAAACACTTTCATACTGGTGTCATGTCCAATATTATGGTCAGTATGGTACGGCAGTTTCTGCCGCGATCCATCAAGGACAGAATTGAAGTTGGGTGTCTCTCTGAAGCTGGACGACTCGATGGGATGTATCTGATGCCCAATAAAGAAGCTGCACGAAAACGGACACTCTCTCGACTCGAAGATGCACTTCAGCGACGATACAACAATGAAGCAGCATTCAAATTGTGACAGGCCTTGCCCAACGCACACAATTAACTATATGTACAACTCTACAACTCTATTTTCTAAAGATTTGCATAACGGATGCAGTAAAGATATCACTTTGTCCACCCAGTCTGGCGGGTACGTACTGGTACGTTGTCGGCCTAGCTATCCTGATCCTTTCCACCGCTGGCCGTTGGCAATGCCAAGAACCAAGACTAGCCGATACGGGGAGCCTTTTCAACCGCGAATTTCCAACCAGTTGGCGTCAAGTATTGACACAGGCATTGGGAACCTACCGCATGTCATGGAGCACTAGAAAACTACATTGCTACCAGTAGTGGAGTTTCTGTGCGAGCGTACTCATTGGGTCGATGTTGAGTTCATACCGGTATCAACACCGACTATTTAGTTTGGAGCATGCAAGTCTTTCGTATCATCAATCATTAGGGGGGAAGTATTCAGGAAACATTTTCCGAAATGGTACTTGTACGTTGCCAGACTATTAGTCCATTGCCCAATCTTGCCCAAGGTCCTGCCGGTATGCCGGTAGGTCCGTTCTCAGGCGGCTCAGTGATATTATGCGACGAGCAAAAGAGCTTTTACTGATACGGGTAAATAATAGTACCGCACCACCCTTGTACGGTGGTACCGGTACCTGCTACCAGGTACGGCTAGCCACATTTTCTGTACTACTGTACCGGTACTGGAGTAGCAGCTAATTATTACTGGAGTAGTACAGTAATAGTAGCAGTGGCTCGCATTCCAGCCGTTTTGTCCTGAGGAAGGAGGAAGTATCTTAACCGCAAGTCTCACTTATGCATATTTGCATTCTTGAGTGACTTGTCAAACAAATAAATAATGTCCAAGCAAGCTTTCTCAGAGAGCTTCTCACACTGAGTACAGTGTAGGCTTTCTGCTTTCTGAGGGGTCATTTTGAATACTGCATGGTTCTCCAGCTGTACTGCATGGCTCTGTAAGGGAGCTGAGGAACTGCTCCACTGGGTTGCTAGAGCTTGGAGACCAGCGCACAACACCAATTGAGACAGCAGCAACACAAACACAAACCCTCCCACACCATTTAGAAGTTCGAATTAGTGAAAGCAATGTCTGCACTCAGAGCTCCGCAACAGGCAGAGTCTGCCATGAAGAGAGAAGAAGAGGTTGAGGTGAGCGAAGACGAGGAGGAGGACAGTGAAACCGAAGAGAGTGAAGAGGAAGCAGAAGGACAACTGAGTTTCGCACGGATTGGTGTTCGAGTGGTCCAGGAAGAAGAAGAGGAGGAAGAAGAAGATGGGGACGAAGAAGATGAGGAGGAGCGGGAAGATGCGCGCTCGTTGGCACGCGTTGCCTCGTTTCCTTCTGTGATGGGACCGGACGATAAAGGTCGTATGCAATTGACTAGTCAAGAGCACTCATGGGCACTGGCAATCAAAAAAGCCATAGAGACTGAACCGGAAGTGGATAATTTGACCGACTTTTGGTACGCTCAAATGGCCCTCATTTGTCAAGATGATGTGTCCAGAGCAGTCAAACGTGCCACACAATTGCAATACTTACGAGAGGAATACAATATTGTTGAAACGTATGAATTTGGTCGTCGTTGCATTCATCAAGCCAGTTCACTCTTTCCCGATTACTACCTCTGCTTATCATTTAATCCTCGTGATGGCAATTATGTGTTGGTTGTGGATATAACCAAATTGCCCATGACTGCCTTTCGGAAAAATCCCGATGCCTTGACCACCAAAGTCCGTGAAATTTTTTTCATGCTCAACATTTTGTCGCCCGATTTTGAGGCCATTCGACGGGGGACCATCTGCATGGCCGAATGTGAAGGATACACACTCCAACACGACATTGGTGTCGGGATTTGGAGACACATCTGGGAAATGGTTGTACCCTATCCAGTCAAGTTGCAGAAAATCAAGCACTTTCATACCAGTGCCATGTGCAATGTTGTCGTCAGTATGGTACGACAGTTCCTACCCCTGTCCATCAAAGAAAAGTTCGAAATTGGGTGTATCTGTGAAGCAGGACGACTGGATAGGGTCTATCTCACGCCCAATAAAGAAGTGGCACGAAAACGGACACTCTCTCGACTCGAAGATGCACTTCAGCGACGATACACCAATGAAGCGTCTTTCAAATTGTAACAATTCAGGTTTGCATAAAGTACATGAAGTACATAGAGAAAATATAGATGTACGACACTAGCTTGGACCAGATCCACCCGCCCATTCCTTTGGTTTGCTTTTTTCTGCCCATTCCTTTGGTTTGCTTTTTTCTGCCCACCACTGCGACGTACCGTTCCAAATCTTCTCTCTTTAGTGCGTCGCATTTTAGTGGTAGATGAGTAAGATAATTAGCTGCAACGTCCTTCAAGACCGAATCGAATCACCATGCAACGATAGTTCGTTGAGAAGAGATTCGTCGGAAGATGAAGGCATTTTAAGCCTATCGGGTAGATCGCAGGCATAGTTGCCGGTACATGCAAGGCTTCTTCATTCTTTGGACTCCCTTCGTACCCCCTCGTCCTCATCCATCAGAGAACCTCCAAGTGTTTCTCCCTCACGAGCACCCTTTCGAAGTGCCTCCTAGATCATTTTTTTCGTTGCTGTGCAAATTTCTACAAAAAAGGCGGTCTCTCGGATGATTGAATCATTCTACTGAGGTCACGGAGGAATCTCGCTGGAACCAGTCGAAGGACATGCCGGAATGGACGATCCTGGTGCCACGAATGCCCTAAACCCATCAATTGCAGCTCTCTTGGGACGATGAAACGTGCTGTGAATACGTACCGTAGCGAGGTTTTCGATTACGAGCTACGTACAGACTAATCAGCACCTGGACTGAGCCACCTAAACACATCCCTCCTCCTTCTTGTCGGGGCTATAGCTTGAGTCCGACTCTCGAACTCGAAATTTACCAACATCCCGGCCAAATCCCAATTCCCTTCCTTTATGTGAGGCCCAGCGATGAAAGCTTCCGTTGTCTCATTGCTATGGCAGCTTTTGCTCGGTTGCTCTTATGGCCGGTTTGATCCTCACGAGTGCGTGAACACATGGCAACGGAGACGGCAGGCCCTCAGAACTCAACTTTCTCCAAAACGGCGGCGATTGCAGCCAAACTGACAATGGGATGCCTAGTGATTCCTGTCTGGGTTGCACGGTTAGAGGCGGGGGTCCTCCAAGCTCAGGCGGCACCGCTTGCCATGCTGTTGTCGTGGACATTGATCTCACGCTCTGGTACTGCAACGTCGGGTAGAAATGGGTTCCACCTTTGTGGTATCGTGAGGGTTGGGGCAAATCTATTCGTGTCTTCGAGTGACACCTTCCACCCGGCAACACTGCTTCAAGACAACAACGTCTATGGAGGCCCACTGTGCCAATGCATTCCTCGCTATTGGAGACCGCTCAGTTATACAGCTGTACCAATCCGCCGATGGGCACCGTCATCTGTCTGCCTTTTTGTGAGCCACTTTGCGCTGCTGTGTGCAAGCAACTAGGGGAAACAAGGGCTGCCACCCGAGCTAACACGAGATGGATTTGTATCCTATCGGGTGATTGCACCATACATGCAACGAGCTTCCGTATCAAAGATTGCGTCCTCCGTTGCCCTACTCTCGAGTCTTGCGAGTTGTCCCGGCGCGGATCGAGTCGCCGACCGCAAGCCGCGACGCCCTCCCAAGACACCAACGGGAGTACAGACATTGCGATTCCTGTGATCTTGAATGCAATCCAACGGAACACTGTAGCTCATACTGCGGTGGTTCTTGTTCCATATGAAGCACATACCTCTGTCCACGGAACCAACTTCTTGCTGGACGGCGTTTGCTCCAACATCCCCGGCTAGCCCAGGTGTAGTCTTGATTTCAAACCTAGCCCCAGAACTCTGTTGGTACTTCACCAGAAAGATGTGTTACTGTCAATTGCAGCATTGTTAGCCTGTTCAAACTTCCAATCTCAGTTGGGATAGTTCCTCTGAGTTCCAATTGCCGATTCAATGCAAGAACTTGTAGACTTTTCCCCAGTAAGGATATTTCATGTGCGGAAAGGGTGGATATCCAGGGTGGAACAGTAATGGTGGAGAGAGGTCGGTGGTGGTCCTTCCTACATAGAAGCTCCTAGAATGGGTTTTAAAAAGCAGCCATTTACGCTTTGGTCCCACAACAAAATGGGTTACTACAGCTACAGGTTGGAATCTATGGAATTGAAACCTCTTCGTTCCGGACTTGAAAGGGTGAACACACTGGAACCACACTGGTTGCAACAGCTGACAACACAAGGTGCTTCTTTAAAAGAAGTGTTATCGGTAGTTTAGTCTGCAGGACATGGATCACAGTCACATCCACAGAGCAGAGTTCCCTGGCATACTGGAGTTTCACTCTTTTGCTGAACCCACACTCCACCAAAGATCCCCGACATTGTTTGCTGGTGCATTTTGCCACACAGTTTTTCAGGAATGCTACCCCATAATGATGTGTTTGTCACTACCAAGCTTGTCAAGTTTTCCAACTGAAGCAGTTCTGTAGGAAGTGTGCCCGAAAGGTTAGTATTCTGAATTTCCAGCTTCTTCAGGCTTGACAGCAGGCCAACTTCGGTTGGGACTGTGCCAGAGAACTGATTGTCCCGGAGGGACAACTGTCGCAACTGTGTGAGATGTGAAAAGAGGCTCAATGGGAGCTTGCCCTCTAGATTGTTGGAACCAAGAAATAAATGAACCATATCTGAAAGGACAAAGAGCAGGGAGTGAGTTGTCCTGAACAGAATGAGCAGACTGGAAGAAAAGAAGTATGTTTAAGGACTTGACTCACTTGTCAACTTGAACAACAGCTGTGGAAAAGTCCCAGATATGGTATTATTTTCCAGGTCCAGCGTATGCTAAAAACAAGTGGGCATCCTCTTATGAGTCCAATGGAGGCAAGGATATGTTGTGCCGTCATTGCCTTGCATTACTCACCAGCAATACCAAATCCACAAAGGTGCTTGGTATTGTGCCAGAGATATTCCAGCGGTTCAAAGACAGAAAAGTTAGGTTAGGCAATTTGCCAAGATGAGCTGTTGGAGGCAGCAATCGGCACATGTTAGAGCCAGTAAACACAATCACTCAAGGCAAACTTGAAGAAATTCAACGCACATGGAATTGGCATCTTGTCCCCGCTTGCTCTTTGAACGAGCGTAATTAATCGCAGCTGTTGAAAATTCTCTGCAATTTCGGAAAGAACAAACTCCGTGTTCAGTTTAGGACATTCAAACACGTCTAGGATTTCTAGCTTGTGCCATTGGTAGAATTCGGTAGGAAGGGACCCTGAATGTTTTCAAAAGAAAAGCAGAGCCTCAAATGTCAGATGTCATCTAATTACAGCAGTGCTCCGGAGACGAGATTTGGAACACAGACCTGTTAGCTCTGCCTCGGACAATCTGAAAATTGTCAGGTTGTACAACTTGCCAAGCTCAGAAGGAAGAGACCCCAATAAATTGTTTCCGCTGAGGCTGAGTTGCCCAAGATTCATCAGAAGACCGAGCTCTCTCGGAATTGTGCCAGAAATGCCTGTTGCTCCCAATTCCAGCTCAGTCAATTGTGTCAGCTCTCCAAGCTCTGTTGGTATAGACCCCCTAAGTTGCTGTTGCCGACTCAGTATCAAATGTTGCAAGCTCTTGCCAAGAAAAGATATCTCAGGTGGGATTGTTCCCTCCATGTTATTGGCGATTGCAAAGGCTAGTGCCTTGATCTCTCCCATCTCATTACAGCAGAGATCTGGAGAGAAAGTTTTATTCCAGAATAGTTGTTCCCAGTCGCATTCATTTGTCTCCCAATCCAACCATCCATGACGTTTCACCCAATAATCCCCTCTGGTAGAAAAGTAGAATGTGGCCAGAGCAAACCTTTGTGTCAGTCTCCAATTTGGAAGATTCTGCAGAGAGGATGTTTTATTGTTGCTGTTGTTGATGCTGTTGACCATCCACTGATAGGCATTGAATTGAGGAGACTGTGCTCGTTCCATAGCTGATAGAGTATAGTCGGGTAGATTGAGTGAACCCAAAAGGGAAGTGGGTTCCAGTGTTGAAGTTGCAGTTTTTTCACCGGGATTTGTGGAAATTTGACTTGCTCCATTCTGATGTGGTGACTGATTGTTGTTTCCTTGTTCTCTGGACACAACCAAGAATATCACAAGAACAACTGATACAACAAGAAGAGCCACATTAATCTCGACTGAGAGTGAACAAAGCAGCATTTTCCTCCAATGTTTCTTTCTTGCTCTCTGGTTGGTTGGTATTATGGGATCTGCATTGGGTAACAGGCCTATCTGCTGATCATCATCAATAGGATTGGCAATGATATCCTCAGTCTGTTCTTGATCCCAATTGTCCAGGTCTTCGTCGTCGTCACTTGACACACCAGTATTTGGATGATGATTCTCCTCCGTGTCATTATTAGCAAGAAAAGGACCATCAATGGCATAGGCTCCAGGTATCCATTGTAGTTGTCTACAAGAATGTCCAGGTTGTCTTCTTAGAATGGTTCTGTCGTGGTGGTGGTTGTCGCTCTCCTTTTCGGCAACTTCTACCAGCTCCAAGTCCCCAGCTGACTCATGGCATGCAGCAGCAGCGTCAAGAGTTCTTTCTCTGACAATTTTCATACTCTCAGAGCCACACGTGGTGGTTGGAGGAAGAGGAGGAGCAAGGGCAGCAACAGTGGCAGTAGGACTACTGCAAGTAGGAGGAGTAGAAGCAGAATAGCTTGAGGGAGCGGTATCGGAGGCAGCGGATGTTTCTTCCTCTTCTTGGCAGTTTTCCGCACTGCCTTGCTGCAACCTCCATTCCACAATCTTGAGAAGATCAACATCTTCATTGTCGCTGTTGTTGTTGGGAGACATGGTGGTAGATCTTGTGATACAACAGGGAGGCGTACGGCGCTATGTATGCGCTTCTATGCTGGCATGGTCGGTCGGAGTCGTCGTGTTGCGCAGAGTGCCACAAGGAGTTAACCCTAGTATAGGTGCTCCACCGAACAGGGGTTAATGCTGCTGGCCACTGTCGCACTTCCATCACAACGTCCTCGTCCTCATTCATTCATCTTCTTCATCGAGCAAACTACAGTACCGTACCAGGTAGCATTGATAGTATTGATAGACCATGATGCTGTCAGGTTCCTCCAGAGCTCCAGCCCTTGCCCGGCTCACTATCAGCCGACGACTTGCAAGATCCGCCGTGTCCACATCGCGTCGGTTGCATTCCCACCAGAAATGTTCCTTTGCAACGCCTAATCGTCCCACACAGTCTCATCATCGTTGGTTGAGTACTACAACTACCAGTACAAGTACAACAACAACAGACGCCGCTCCAGTGCGTGATTTTTTCTTGGACAATTTGGGCAAAATCTTTTTGAGTATCATTGGCGTGATTATTGCCTCGCTAATCCGATCGCATTTTGGCACCAAGAATTTGACGGCCATTCGGGATGAATTGGAAGAAACGGCCGCGTTGGATCCCAAAGAAATTGACGATCTCCGCATGGCCAATCGCGAATTGTCGCCGGATCTGTTTCGACTTATTTTGCAGGAATTGAATGGCAATAGTAATAGTAGTGGCAGTGGTCAAAGAAGGATGACCTACGAGGAATTTGTCCAGCAAGTCCGAACGATTTTGATGCGCGAAAAAGGAGAAACTTGTACCATTGGATTGGGATACTTGCTCGATCGAGTCGTCATTGCGGCATTGCAGCAGCAACAGACTACGACGAACAACACGCAAGAAGAATCGCTCACTACTACTTCTACAGATGATTCCTCGATGCAGGACTTGACCATGCCGTTGCCGTTTTGGATGACGGTACTCTCTCTGGCGTTGCACGGTCCGGTGCCCGATCGAATTCGAGTCCTCTACGAAGTCCTCCAGTCCATGCCACCACAAGAAGAAGACGCCACCAATAGTATGTCCATGATGACAATGAACGACGACGACCACAACGACAATAACTCGCCAACAACACCCGTCACATTGGACAAGGTCGTGACCATGGTGGGATATCTACAGGATACCTGTCAACTCGTGCCGGACAAACAAGTCGTTCCTATTGTGGAGGACAAGTACCCCGTACAACAACATCGACGTGGAACGCCCCGAGAATTGGTCGCCTGGGAGGCTGCCGCCGATGCGGCTGCCAAGGATGATGTCTTGGATATTGATGCCTTTGCCGATGTACTACGAAGCAAATCGGTCTGTGCGTGGGGAGAATGCTACTTTAAAAAGAAATATGTGCCGTAAACAGTAATCATCCAAAAAGACAAGGCAATAGTACTATGCTGGATTCGATTCGAATCAATTCGTTGTAACGATAATACTGTATGTGTGCATGTGCAGAGATCGGGTTCGTGAGGGGAGCTCTACTTGTCATCATCATCCGTGGTGGAGAAGCTGGTGATGACACTCGAAAGATCTTCTGTATTCAAACTCATGGTGCCGTCCACTTCGTCCGAAGCATTCGTGGCAGCAAAGGTGAACCCAATGCTGCACAAGGCGGAGTTATAGGTGCCGTACAGTCCTACCAATGCCGAATGTTGGCCGTGCGGGCCTTCAAAGGTCTTGGTTTCGCTGGATGACACTGGGATGCCATACACGGGTGAGATCCTTCCCGAAGCCATGTGGAACTGCACTGCAGTGACAAGTCGGTGATCGGCCCAAACAACCACCTTGGTGATGGGATCGTTTGGCTTGACATCCATCGTAAATGTCTTGTTGCCACCTTCGGCCTTATGAGCGTCTTGTGCATGATAGATCACGGCTGCTTGGTGAGGATTGTCATCACCACTGTTATTGAATTCCAAAACAATTCGTTTCATGACAGAACCGTACTCCCAGTAGTACTTTCCACACTCGACATAAACCTTTTTGACACCCGAGAGGTTGCACCCCGAGTCAAACTGATATCCGTTGTCGGCGGCGCCACAGGGGGGCAACTTGGTAAAGGCAAGCTTGCTGCTGCCACCGGATGGTGCAGCATGGGGTGTACGGGTAACGACAACTCCTGTATTGTACATCATCTTGGTGGAACCTTCCAACTTCATATTGCTAGCTACTACGTAGTAGTTGAGTGATGGTCTGCCAGTGAACTGGAGTTTTATGCATCGAAGGAAGGAAGGCAAACAAAGATTCCGGTTTTTCAGGAACGAGGAGCTCAACCAGCCACATACATGTACACGACTACAAGTACACCAGTAATAGTACAAATTAAACTTGGCATTACTACTCGTGTACTAGTAACCGAAATTTACTTTGTTTTCAACTCTATAGTTGCTTGAGTGCATGGACAGGCATGTCAACAGCAACGGAGAGCTGCGGAAGAGCACGGCTCCTCCCCACCACACCGTTTACTCGTCATTCTGGGGTTTGGTAGTGACTCGGCGCCTCTTGCTTGATCCTGTGGCCGGGGCACTCTTCGTGGCAAATGTGAATCCAAGGGTACGAATAATCTGATCGAATGTACCATACACACCAACGAGTTTGGAGGCACTACTAGGTCCTTTGATCACCTTCATTTCACTTTCTGGTACTTTGATCCCAAACAATGGGGAGGTGTTTCCAGAAGCAGTATGGAATTGCATTGCATTGATAGCCACAGAATCAACCCAGACGACAACCTTAACAATTGGATCATTTGGAAGCACAACAAATTTAATGGCGGATTTGCTACCGGTACTGTAAACGTCTGAACCAAGAACGCAGTACATTGCAGCCTTGCCGGTGTGGTTTTGGTTGAATGATAAGTAGACTCGTTGGATGACAGATCTGTACCTGTGGCTGGAATCTTCATAGTGCTCATCACATTTAATGTGTACTTCTGTGACTCCAGAGAGATTGCACCCAGAGTCAAACTCATGACCATTACATGTAGCATGGCCACAGGTGGCCGCCTTTGTCACCGTTACCTTGGTGGCTGCATCGGTTTGTGTAGCAGAAGCCATTTCCGTCGTCTTTGGATTGCATTCCAACTTCCCAAACCTTCATTGTGGCAGTAAAAAGGGTTGCAGGATCAGCCGCTCGAGAATGGAGCCAATCAGAGCAGCAACCGAAAATTCCAGGCCGGTACAGTTCCCTTGTATGGGCACATGCAGGTACACCGTGGCAGGCTAAAGAGCCTGCACCAGCCGACGAGAACGTGAACCGTTACCTTGGTGGCTGCTTCCGTTTGCGTATTGCCGTTGTGTCTGAAGCATTCCTGGCCAGCGGCTAGCTTCCATGAGCTTGACTATACAAGAGTTTGACTGCATTGTGCCCTTTTCTTCAACCACTGAACGCCAACAAAGCAGTCTGAGCTACCAAGTCACTCGTGCCTGTAACTAGACCCTGTACACCCCACAAGTGTTCTTTGGCTCACCGTTGCAGTAGGATACCTCGAACAGCTTCCACCTCGGCCAAGGCTTCCCAGACAGCATTGGGCACTTTCGTTTTTGTTGAGTTCGTTCCTCCATTCTGAAAGGAATTCACGGCTTGAAACTGCTGCTGTTGGCCGGGTGTTCGGGCAACGGACATGACGAAGTCTTGCAGTACGGCACAGCTGTTTCCCAATCGGAATGCCAA